TCATAATGTTCAGATAATCCTTATGCAAGTCTTCAAACTTAATGGACTAGAGAGAGCAGTAAGTTTAGGAATGACCTATACAGTCCCCACGTATCATCTCCAATTTATGTGAGGAGGGCATAGCTCAATGCCTGGCATATGGTTGAGGATCATTAGTTCTCTGCCCCTTCAGGCTGCTCAGGTCTCAATAATTACAGAGGTACTTGCAATGTCTATCACCATGAAATATGGAAACATAATGAAGTTAAATTCATAATATATATTTATCTAAAAATTCTATAATGTTGTGATTAAGCCTGCTGTAATATATGTCATCCAAAATTAATATTCATGGACACTTTTTAAGTGAAAATTATTAACTAATTATGTAAGATCTGACTCAGGAATGGTTTCTGGCATGGAATCCTCTTGATTTGCTCATCAGGTAAAGAAGCAATAAGTTCTGCTCCAGCACAAAAGACCACAAGAATGAAAGCCAGGCAGAGCACCAAAATTCACTGATGGGTAAGGGGAAAAGAGAAGAATGAGGATCATTTTCTCTTTTCATGACAGGTCCTCAAGGCAATTTGCCAACCACATGGGACAGGGGAGGGGGAAAAAGGTACAGAAATAGACCATGACTGAACTAAAAGAAAATTCATTTCTATTGATTTGAAGTACAGACTGCTTGAAAGATTCTAAAGGTGGTTTACACAGGATAACACTTTGATTTGTGGGAATGATGTATTGAAGAAATGTTGCATGGTGCCTGATAATATAATACTTTACAATGACCAAGGAGAAGTCATTATATAAACCAATCCCTACTGAAGAATTCCTAGTAAAACTAAGGACAATGTTGGAATTTACTCTTCCCATACTTTGGATTTGCAGCCACTGGACAAGTTTAAAATGTAGAATAGTAAGTAATATAAGGACACCACAATGTTATTTACGAAAAAAAAACCAAAGATTCCTTCTGTTTTTCTATACAATGCCTGCCAACATGGCACTCTTCTGGAGCACTATCAGAACCTCATCTTTCTTTACAAGTAAAAGACAAATTGTGCATCATGAGGCAAGCCAGACAAAAATAAGCCTAATTTTCTCAACTTTCTGTAAGATGGCGTCTTACTTGGTTGTTCCCATGTGCATCCTGACTCTGAAGTAAGGTTAAGTCCCCCCATGGTGAGCTATGTACTGCAATACCTAGAAGCGTTCTTAAACTCAGATCTTTATTCAAGAATGACTGAATAAAGAATGAGTCAGTAATGAGAACTAAGCTCAGTTCATTAAGGTGAGGCCATAATAATACATAGAGTCCTGAAATAAGATTGGGTTCCTCCTCTCTGTGGCTCTGTTGCTCTCCCTTAAGCCATAACCCATGCAGCTAAGGAAATACTCGTAGTTTTGACCACTGCCTGCTAAGGTGCCTGACATATATTAAATGCCTAACAAATGCCTGTGAAAACCATCAGTGAGCATCCTTTTATGTATCCTACTCTGGCTTGCCATCTGGTCTATACTGTGCTGCTGATCTTTTGCTTTATGGTCTCTATTAATTAACTGAGTTAATATTAGTAAACTTTTTAAAGGCGTATCTGGCATATTATAAGCATTTTATAAGTACAGTTAAATGTAAGCAGACAACAAACACATACATAAAAGATTACTCACTTAAAGTTTACTATTAAGGGCTGGCTCTCTGGCACTTGATTCCATGGAAGGCTGTGCCTCCCCCCAATATGTGCTGCAGGAGACTGTCTGCTAATGTTCTCATTAACCTGGGGAATGAATGTGGGATGTTTGTGGTCACCATATATCTAGATTGAATTCTCTGCTTTGCATCTGGCTTTTTATTTCCATTTATGTTCTCTCTGTGGAAATGAATGGAATGCTTTCAATCCCCTTTGTCGGGATAAGTCATTTCATCTTCAAGAGATCACCCGCACAGCACAGCACCAGGGCTCCCATTAAACCTCCCCTGGTCACGGTGGTCCAGAGGGCTCCTGAGAAGTCACTGCGCTTGCATGTCCCATATCCTGGGAGCCGCTCAGAGGCTGAGAGTTAGGCAATGAGAGTTCATTTAACACTGACGAACTCAACCCACTTTCCTGAATTTATATCCCCCAAATGTCACTTCCTGACAAAGGGAGGACACAAGGAGAACAAAGAATGGATTGAAACCAGAGCAAAGTCTAGTTTTCTTATTCCCTGCCAGTTTTCTATTGCAATGCATCTAAAAGTTAAAAGCATCAAATAATGAAGGTATGAGGGTCCACTATCACCAGTTATTGGAAAATATACAGGGCTTTGGTTCTAAAGTATCTGGAATAAATGGCGGGTGAGGCTAAAATAAACAACTAAACCATATATTTCCATTCTTTCATTTTTAAACAAAATAAAATGAGTGAAGCTATTAAATTTAATATTGTTTCGTAAGTGTTTAGGAGTTATATTAAAAGGTCATATGTTTTGTTGTAAAGAAAGGTACAAGGAGAGGTCTTCTCACTAGCATTCACTTGATATCAATCACAGTTTACTGTAACCTTTGTCTTATCAGTAGTCTTCCTTTTTTTTAAGAAAACTTTTTTCCTAACTCAAGAGTCCTTATCTCTGAGTCAGACCTCTCCTGGGACTGGTCTGTTCTAAGACATTTTGGCTCCAGAATGTCAGGCCAACTTGGTTGTTAAATTTCTCTCTGGGTTGCTCCTCTCAGATGTCTACTTCTATGCATTCAAAACAGAGTAAATTATTTTTATCTTTTTAACCTCTTTATCACCTAAGATCATTCTCTAACTGCCCACCTCTCACCCCCTGCAAATGGACTTAAAGTTCTTTTACAAAGACTGCTTAATTTTCACATATGTCTAAGCCATTACGCAGAAGAGATTCACGTAACAAGTGCAATTCTATAAGAACAGATTAGAACCCCCTTTGAGCCACTCACTACATACCCAGGAAGGTATGAACATGGCATGACTATTGCAACTAAGGGAAAAGGGCATGCAACCACGGAAAGATGTGGATGGAAAGTGACTGACTCAAAGGCTTTAGCTTCCTGGGTTTGCCTACATTTTATCATCTTGGAGAAACATGTCTGAATAAGAGGCAGAAAGAAAGACATGCTAAGAAAGACAGAAAAACTGGGTTTCATTAACTACAAAGTGTGGGTTTGAGATTTTCACTTATCTTCTTTCTTTCAGTTGAAGAGGACAAAGGAACGTGCATTAATAGAGAAACGTAGTCCAGGGGTAATAAACTTAAACCTCCCACAACTCTCATCTTCCATGTTGATGTGGCCGAGGAGAAGGGCTGTTGTGGGTGGGGGTGGCAAAGAGAGAAACTGAAGGTGAAGTTGACAGAGGAGTTTGAGAGGAGGGAAAGGAGCAAAGCAAGTAAAGGGCGAGGGAAGGGATGGCAGGAGCCAAGGGGAGACAGTATGGCCTCATCTAAAACACAACAAATGCCTCCAATTAAAGCTTTGTAACTAAAACCATGCAAGAAACACTTTTAAAAGCCACAAAATTCTCTTCAACACAGGGGCAAATGAGGAGAGAAAAGTAGCTAAGAACAAGGGGCATGGATGACAGAGGAAAAAGAGGGCCAAACCTCACCTCCTAATCAGTCTGCCTGAGGTGCTGAAAGCATTTCTTTATAGTGTGAAGTTGCAACTGAATCCAAGTTCCTGGCATCAGAAACGGTGCCAGGGGCTGTTTACGAGAAACAAAATCTCTCTTTTCCTAAATGGAAGAAAATTCTGTTTTTGTGTGAGGTCTTTTTTATCTTGAATAATCTACACTCTTTTCCTTTTCATTTACTGGACAACACTGCAATTAATGGGAAAGACAAAGCCAGGCCTGACCTATGGTTTAACAACATCTATCAGAAGACCCCATCCACTAATCGCAAACCATGGCCCAATCTGTAAGTGTTGTCCCCAGGAACCACACACACCCATAGCCGTTTCACCATAAACTCATGCAGAATGTCTCAGGATGATGATAGGGTAGGAAAAATGGTACAATGCATATTTCCCAAGCACAGGGGAGGGAGAGGAGAAGACATATATTTAATAAGTGGTGCTGCCACAATTGACAACTGCTTAAAGAAAAGAAAGCTAGACCCCTACACCTCACTCTATATACAAAAATAAATCCTAAATGGATTTGAATGTAGAGAAGAAAACTTAGAATTGAGGGTTATTTTAGAATTGGGAAGACCTTCCTCAATAAGATTAAAAAACCTAGAAACCATTAAAAAAAGATAGGCATATTTGTCTATCTAAACATTTCAAAATCTTATATAAAAAATATCACAAAGAATAGGGCCACTCATTGGTATCAATGACTTGTTAATCAATAATTTGTTAGGTAATTCTACTCGCTGAATTCAGGCAAAAGTAATCATTGAAAATGGCATCATTGGATTTGATGTTCTGACACTTTAAGTACAGAGTAAAATATTATGGAAAACTATTAATATACTCCATGCTTCCTGCACTGCCTGGATCCTGCCACCTATCTCTGAATCTCTCATCCTCTGATTTTCATGGCTGGCTATTCTAACAGGCATGGGGTTTGCTGGAGGACAACACTTTAGAGAACTTACCACATGTCTCTCAGGCTGTGTTTCAAGAGTCCCAAAACTGCCTGGACTATAATGAGAGTGCACGTGTGTGTGAATTATTTGTGTCCTGAAGAAGAGGGAGGCGAGAAGTAATTCTACCTCATTCCAGAAGTATGTACCCTCAAAATAGTTAGGATCATATTATACCATTGTGGTTTTTTTTTAACTAAGAAAACATTTATTGGTTTATAAAGTATATAAACATTTTATGAAAATATCCTCTATAAGAAAAATAAGAGAACAAGTAAAAATAAAAACTACCACACGGAAATAATGTCTGATTCCCCTCCTTCATTTTAGAAGTGAGAGAAATGATAGATACAGTCCTGAAAACTTGCAAAAGGATTCCTTCAAGTTTTCCAGTTTTTTTAATAAAATGGCATAAATTGCTGAAAGCATTATGACCTTTGTTATGCTACATATACTGATACAAAATGTGAATGGTACAAAGTTCATTATATATAATATAAGGTTTTAATATATTACATTTGTTTCTACATAAACAGACTATAAATATATGTGCCATAGCATGTTTTATAGTCATGGTTCCCAGCATCTCACACTATGGTACCAAACAAAAAATACATTTTTTGTTCAAAAGGAAAGAACAAGGGCAGAAATCAGTAGAAATAGCTTTACATGTTAAAAGTCTACACAATACAATAGATGTTGTTATAACTTTGGCTATAAAATAATTTTGAAATCTAAATTATCCAGAGAGAGGACAAACCAAATCAGTTTTTACTAAGGTGTAGAGGCCAAATGACTAAAATACTGACTATTTGGGGGTGAAAGGGAGGGGGAAGGCCCTGGGAGGGGAGAAGGAACCACAGAGCGAACTCCTTCCTGGGGCCTTGATACCACAGCTTGATGCCAAACCTACTGCATTCAGGCTCAGACACATCACGACGGGACAGATATGTGGGTATTCATCCACAAGAAGCCAGAAGCTGGTTTGTACAGTCAGAATTCTTCAACACGACAGGGAGCCTCTGTCTGAATGTCCTTTCTTTGTGGTGTCTGAATAAAGGATCAGCCTGGGAGAGAACGAGCCAGAGCTGCATCATTTCCTTCCTGGGGCTTGGCCAGGAGACACGTAAGAGTCCGGAAGGAACTCTCATTAGGAGTCGGAAACAGCACAAGGAACTCTCATTTAGCCTAACTGGGAAGAGCACGCAACCTTCTAAAACCAGTAACCTTGTCTGAAGCCTTTACATTGCCTCATAGACCCCATGCCCACCTCCACTAGAGCTAACACAATGCATTTGCAGGCTCCAGTGCACTCTCAAAGGAAGCCAACATCTTCCTTTCTATCAGTCCAAACCCCACGTAAGACTTGGCTCAGGACCCACATCCTAAACAAAGCTTCTTAGATAGACTCAGCTGTAAAGGTCTTTCTCATCTTCAACACCAAAAGCACTTCCAAAAGCACTGCCTGGATTACCTAGTTTTACAGAGGTGTCAACTCCCCAGGTATTGCTATGTCTTGGAGGATGAAGCCTTTTCTTGAACTTCTTTTGTTATAACCTGTGGGGAGACCCACAATAGGGAGCATCACACATGTTTTTCAAATAAATGAAAAAGAGAATAAGGTCAACACTGGGAGAAGACACAAACACATTCTTGGGTCACAAGCATCTTGTCAGGAAATGCCTAGGGGACTGGCTCCCTGCAGTCTGAGATCCATTTTTTTTTTTAAATGAAAATCAAATGTGGCTACTTCCTGGTGGTGGAAAGAACAACACTTGAAAATATGAGCAGCACCTCTCATGTGATTTCCAGGAGTCGGGGACTTGGGTGCCTCCTTTTAAATAGGAGGAAAGCTCAGTGTGGTCCCAGAGTCAGGCTGGAGGATCTGGGCTGGGTTGCCAGCCTGTGGCCCAGACTCCATCAGCTTTATAAGTTCTGCTTCCTCGCTGGAGTACACCGTGGTGTCTGTGTCATCAGAGTGATATCCAGACTGGTAGCCACTGGTCTGGTTGGAGCCTTCAGATGCCACAGACTCTTTGCTTTTGCTGGGCATCAGTCCACTGTGGAAAGGAAAAATGCAACCACAGGAGTTGGCAGAGAGAAGGCAGTTCTTTTGCTTCTTACCCTAACCCCCCGCCCACCTCCATGTGGGCTGTAATCTCCCTAGAGACACCAGCCCCTATCTCTCCCACTTGTTAATCAACGTATCGGGTTTACTCAAGACAATGTCTATTTTCAGGTACTAGCATGAATTTGTCCTTCCAGATAAATCCTCTTATTTGGGTCCAAGTCTTTCAAGCCTGAGATGAGATGAAAGGCAGCTCTCCTGAGTTATGCAAAGGTTCCAACCAATGGAACATTTTTATGGCCTTGTGGATTGACAAGTTTGTATACAATGATAGGAGCCAAAGGGACTCTTTCATGATCTGAAAGGAAATTAGGATGTTCTGAAAGTCCACTTGTGCTTTCCCCACACTGTCAATTAGGGGATTGCAAGGCATGGATAGGGTGTCAATAAAGTTCTCGAGCAATGTTAAACTTTAATAAGTTAAAGTGTGTGTGTGCAATCAAGCTAGATGGGTCAGAAACTGCTTTTTTACTCATCAAAAATCACATTCTTTGGAAAGACTGAGGACCTGGATCACTCAGCAGCAAGAAGAGAATGCTTTCAATGGTGTGGAATCATGACAGATGGTAATTGTGTCAAAGCTTAGAAGTGCAGGCTGTGCTGATCTAAAACTTCAGGATTTACACTTCTCAAGGCATTCTGAGATAGGTTTTGCCCCTAAATAAGTGCTTTATGAACTTATTCATATTAAAAACTGCAAATAGGGTTTTATTAACTCTGTGCTCATATATGGTTTAAAAGTTATTTCAAATCACTAGAAATTCAATTTTTCTTTCAATCCAATCCCAATAAAAATAAGTTTAGTGTCTCAAGCAATGACATGATAATTATCACACAGTGATTGCTGAATAAATACATTTTGAATCAGTGAATAAAACATGATTGGCTCTTACAATTTCTTTTTCACCTTGGGCTTAAGGCAAACAAAATAGCACAACAGAACATTTTAATGTGTTCTTTTTCTAGTATGAACATCAATAACCCATGGGTTATTGAGTTAGATTTTAAGTAGATCAAAATCTTCTCTCTTCTTACCTAGAGTAAACCCACTGGCAAATAAATAATTATTCTGCATCCTATTATTCTTTTTAATTTTTAAAATATTTGTTGTTATTCTATTACAGTTGTCCAAATTTTTCCCCCTTTGCCCTCCTCTGCCCAACCCACCTCCCTACCGCCCCGCTCCCACAGTCAGGCATCCTATTATTCTTACAAATTCAGATTTTCATTTATTCGTTAAGTCAAAAGCAGGTACATCTATTCAAAACAACTACAAATTCCTCTTGAACCTCATGGAGAAAAATATATTCAAAACAAAATTTAGTATTTGTTCTCCAATTAAGTAAGGTGAACTCAGCCAATAATATGTACGTATCTAAACAAATAGCTATTGGTTTATTTATATATCATACTTCTCAAGGAGAGACACATCATTTATGTACAGGTTGGAAAATTCTTCAGGGATCACATCCAATGACCTCTTTGTTATTTAGCCAGTAGCAGACAAATCTCATAAAAATCCTCTGATTCATTTCAAATTCTTTTTTAGGCTTACCACTTAATTTAATTGTTTGATTTATTTAAGTTCTTTATTAGTTTGATGCAAATTTGACTGGCCAATAATGACACAAAACACAAAAACTCTGCACCTACATTGAAAATTCTAAGTTCCTTCCAAAATTTCCTGTTGAAATTAGTCTTTTCTGTTTGGCTGAGCCTTACCTAAAAGATGGAGATAATTTGGTTCTGTCTTCCAAGGTTTTCAGCTCTTCTGATGCAAGAACCATACCACTGTCCGTCTGGTTGTCCTTTTGAAGAGATAATGAGATGGCACAGTTGATTGAGTGTGTACATGGACCAACTACTTAATGAAACTGATTCCTTAACCCATGTGTCAGACAATACATTCTAATGTTCTGCAGAGGGACATAAAGGTATGAGAGTCAGGAGCTGTGCAAGCTACAAGAGGGAGCAACCGCTTCCTGGAAGCAGACACAGGCCAGGATGAAGAGAGGACTTTAGGAAGAAGAAGCTGAGGGACCCATTTTCATCCTTCTTTTCCCTTGAGAGTATTTACACTTGAGTGAAATTGGACATGAGGGTTGGTATCTTGAACTTTGACCAGGGGCTTTCCTTATGGAATAAGTTTCATTTCAGTAGTGACCCCATGATACAGACCCCACGGAAAGCCTTATAATGAACCTCCTAGACTCTAATGCTTAGGCTAATATTTATCTAGCTAATGTTTCATCTTTTGTATAATTTTTAAGACTATTTTTAAAAGATGTACTTACATCTGGGATTATTTTTACTTCTGGTTCTTCCAAAGGGATATCTTCAAATGTTTTTACACTCACAGGCCGGCTCTTTCGCTTACTGTTCTGCAGATACTGACTGCAAAAGAAAAAATATTTATATTTTAGTGGTGGTATATTTGGCTGCAGATACCACAAGTGATACCTAAGTTCATTATCTTTCAACCGCAAGTTTAATAGTGACCTTCAAAACATCCTTTGGAAAAAGAAAAACAAAACAAAAATCTTTCCCTGCTAGCACACATTGAAGGCTTAATTTCCTGTGAAAGTCCATTTAAAAGTATAATATAAGTGAGGGGCCCAGATGAGCCCCTCTTCCTTTGAATTGTACTTCTGAGGTCCAGGGCTGGACAAAAGACAACAACAGCAAACTCAGTGATCAACTGCCTTCTCCTTGGCTTCCTGATTGCATGAAATTCCTCCACTGAGTTCTCGACATGTTACCTAGTGTTTCACATCTGCCAGGCCATCTCCTAGGAAAGTTTCTCTAGGTAATGTTCCCAGAGCAAACATCCAATGGAAGATGGGTGAAGGAAACACCTGCAGATCTCACTGACTCTCACTATAGGATCTGAAGATAATCTCCTCTGTCTACATGTAATAAAGGCTTAGTGTGTGGACGGGAGAGGGACTGAGTCTCACTATCCTCTATTTCAGCCCATACTGTTGCTGGTCTTAGGAAAGGGCAGGGGTTCAAGACTCATGAGATATTTTGTCAATGTCAGAGTCTACAAAAACTTGGGAAAGTCATAAATATTTCTATGTCTCTGTTGCCTCATCTTTAAAATGTATTGGCCATAACTTTCCCTCCCTTGGTCAGAAGGAAGAATGAGGACAATGAAAGAACAGTAAATAAATGGTAGGCGGCGAGTGTTCTTAGAAAGAGTGATGTTCTATCAACCAAAGCTTGTTGTCCTCCTTTGTATTCAAAGGGGTGCCAGTTTCCTTCGGGAGTCCAAACAATAGGTCTTGTCTGACAATATACCACCTGTGTCCAGGGGGTGCTCCTCCACTGCCCTGTGACTTTGGGTAGGTCTGAGTGATCTGGTTAAAATCACTGACAGCCCAAGTGGAGAGCAGGAAAGTCCTTTCAACAGGAGGTACAGCAAATTCATTCTTCACTCTTTTCCCAGTGTACTTCTCACCACAGGCAGACTTATGGACATGCTAACTTGTTGTTTCCCTGTGTTTTCTGTGAACGAGTAGAGTGAGGACTCACCTGGGCCAAAGACAGAGAATGGGAACTGAGTCTCCCACCCCTTCCCCAGGAGGCAGGTTCCTCCTCCTATAGAGAGGAGCCAATGAAGTTCACCAATGACATCCTCACTCAGGAAACTCCACAAGAAACAAGACAGGATACACAAGGGGAGAGGAAAATGTCCACTTCTCCCAAGTTCAGTCCCTAAAAGCGGCAGTTGCTAAAACCTATTAGTAGCATAGTCGATTATTCATTCACTCACTCATTCAGGAATCCCTTCTATGGGCCAAGCACTATGCTCAATGCTCCTCAACCATTTCCCTGTGGCATCTTCACAAATGGTACCTCTCTTGGGAGGATATTATTATCCCAACTTCAGATGACAAACTGAGGCACAGAAAGGTTAAGGAACTTGTCCAAAATCACAGAACTGAAATATCTGGATTACAATTTTGAGAGTAATGAACAACCACCAAAGAATTTTAAGCATGAGATTGACCAGCTCAGATACATCCTTTTGAAATAGGAGTCTGGGGTGAGAAGGGTAAGACCAGAGCCAGTGAGACCAATGAGGGGGCAATTCCATTTATCTGAGATAAGGAAGGGCAGCCTGACTGAAAAAAGGTGAAGCTGACAGGGTTTGGAGAACTGGACAGACAGATTCAAGAGCTATTCAGGATGAAGAATCTAAACTAGAGTTGGTGATCTCGGGCAATAATGCAGCTACTTTAGAAAGGACAGCTCTTCTGACTTCTGACCCCAATAACTCCAAGTTGCATGGCCTTTCACAGTTAAAAAGGCATTTTCATGTTGTATATGCTCCTTCCAAAACTGCAAATTAGGTTTTGTGTGTATGTGTGTGTGTTTATTTTTCATTTGAAGATGAAGGAGCTAAACCTTAGAGAGGAAACAGCTAGAGCTTAGACTCAAACTTTGGTCTTAGACACTAAAGCCCATGCAGGTGATTTTTGTGTGGTTGGTTAGATTTTTTGTGTGTGTGCTTTGTCTTGTTTTGTTTTACCCTACTCTACATTGACTCCCTTGGAAAAGTATCATGAAGGAAAAAGAGAGCAGTGGGTATAAGTGTTCAAGTTTTCATGAAGCACCTAGCATGCGCACAGCCCTTTTCTCTCACATGTGACCTGACTGTGTGACAGAGGTGGTAGGAAGAAGAGGGTACATGGTGTGTGAAATAGACAAAAGATGGAGAAAAGACAGTTTTGCTTCCAGCTATCTAATATCAGAGCCAAATTCAGGGACCTCTAGCCCAAAGCATCACTCTATAAGGAGCATTTAGTCATTACCAACAATTACCCAAAATGAAGAAAACGCTATGTGCCAAAAATATTTTTCTGGGAAAGAATTGAAAAGAAATAAGTTGCTTGGAGTGGGACATGAAACTGCCAGGGGAAATGATGGAACAACTGCAGATGGTCCCCAAACTGTCTTCAAAGAAAGATGCATGCAATTAATATGTGTTTTCTTGCAGGAAGCATGCAAACTTGGGGCTAGGGCTAATCGGCAGGGAAATGAGAGAAAAAGCTAAGTCTAGACACTGGTGGTCCTTCTTCCCCACCCTTCCCCCACACACCTCTCAGCCTCTCTCTAAATAAATGCTGAACACATATTTTTAATCAGGCAACAAATCATCAGGTTGGCTCCCACAGTGATGTCTCTGTCCAGCTCTTTTTAGAAAGCAATGGAATTGAAAATTAGAAGGAGGGAGCAAGTGAAAATGACTTCTCGGCTTTTCCACTTGACTGGCAATGTAGAAGAGGAGAAAACAAGTCCGCCGAGCCCACTCCAGCCTCATCTCTCTCCCCCCAGGGACGCAGACCCACAGAGAGAATCAAAATGAAGTGTGCCATGCGCAGATGCCTGGATTCTGCCTTCCTTTTAACCCAGATGATTTAAATGTGACCATGGAGTCCTATTTTTACAAGAGAAGAAAAGGTGGAGGCGGTTGGGAGAGGATGCAGACAAAAGATTCCAATTTCCACTTTATTTTTCAAATTGTGACTGGATAAAAGAGAAACTGAACTAGAAAGACCAATTCAAAAATCACAAGCAGAAAATAGAAGCCAGGCCTGTGTTCGGAGTATGGTGTCACATTTGTCCATGCTTCTGGGGATAAATGTTAGCAGCCCTGTCTTAGATCCAGCATTGCATTTGGCACTTCCATTACACAAACATGACTTCATCGACTCTCAGCACCATATGCAAAGTGCCCGAGTGAGCCAAGATGCTGCCGACTTGGGTCCTCATTCCACCTGGTCACTGAAAATCCGAGGAATAGAGCTCATGATCAAATGGCTTTCTGATCAACGAGGAGGCCATAGTGTTGTGGGAATAATTACCACACCAGAAGGCTGGCTGAATTTGAACTAAGATTTTTAACATGGGAGTGGAACTACAGGCTTTCATTCCGTGACTCTTTCTCTCTGATAGGCCCTCCTTGGAGTGGGAGAAAATGGCACCGAGTTCAATATCAGAGAAAATGGAATTATTCCGGGGATGTAATTTTAAACAGGTCACGTAAGAGCTGTCATTTATTGAGAGCTCCCTAAGTGCCAGGCACTTAGAAATGCACTATATCAGTAACTTGCACAACAATTATTTCCAAATGACACCAGTGACCTTACCTGGGTTGCAGTGAAGACCTGCCCCAGGTCACACAACTGCTAAGAGGCTTACCTAGGAGTGCAAGCCACCTCTATCTGACTCAAAATGTGGATCTTGAATCAGAATATTATATTCCCCCAGGTAGTCACTCTGAGCCTCGTGTTCAGCATCTACATCCTAAAACATCATACTTTCTACCTTGTCGAACACTGAGAGTTATCATGTGGGCAAAATCTGATAATATAAGGAAAAGCTCTTGACAAAATGGAATAGGTGGTTGATGTGTTGCCTTCAACCACTCTGAGCTTTCTTCTCACTCATAACACAGTTCCTGCCATCCTGTGTGGTTGATTCCATGGCACCAACTGTTCAGGGTGCCTCCTCACCTGCTATGTGGCGGCCTGGCCAAGTGCTCAAAGGCCCGTGCCCCTCCCTGTGGCCACAGCATACGCAAGTGGGCAGCTTGGGTCCAGGCTGTCAGGGTGTCCAGTTACAGGAAAAAAACACCCAAAGGAGTGCGAAAAGAAACAAGCAAAGGGAAGTAGTCCCAGGCTTAGTAAAAGGCAATTTTAATATCATAATGTAGAAAACCATATCAACTTTTTCCTTACGCACAGGTGCTGGGAGAGAGAAAAGAAAGCTGCCTTCAGAATCCCTTTAGAAATCAGGGAAGGACTGCAGTGCATGTGTTTTAAATAAGCCCAGAAGCCTCTTTATGCAAATAAAATCCTGAAAATCAGACTTGGGAGGGGCTTCTGAAGATGTGCTGTCCAGTCTGGTTCAGGGCACACTGTCTCCTGGCCCCAGAGGCATAAGTGTGTTTTCATAGATGCACAGAACTCTTCCTTCCTGACTCGGTCCTAAGCCACTTAATTCACACTAATAAAAGAGTACATGGGGATCATTTAAATACAGATGTCTTCGTAAAATTGGTTTCTTTTTCTGGAGATTAACAAACTATGGCATTCCAGCTATTTGCAGCTGCAGGGCTTAAAAATCTGAAAGGAAGAGCTATGGCAGCAATGTGGGCCACAGATGGGAGGAAACACACCTACTCGGACCCTCTTCAGGGAGCGCTTCTCTTTCTATTAGTCTCAGGGCTACGGCTGCACGTGCAAGTGGGATGCAGCAGCTTTACAAAATGTCTTCCTCCCACCTACCCTCCCCCCAAGGTGACCTTGAAGTGCAACCCACAGGGGATGTTGGCCATAGACAGTACCTGATTCCTGCTGTGTTATCATAATGGAATTTGGGGTCACACACTTCCTCTTCCTCCATACAGGAAACAGGTGAGGTGGGCAGAGAGAGTCCAGAATCCTCTTCCATGCTCAAAGTCTCTGATATGGGAAGAACAATGTAGTCTTTGCCATCCTGAAACAATAAACACAGAGTGCTATTGTTATGGCTCCAGTCCTTCAAGGGCCTTTTCATGGAAAACAAAGGCCGAGGGGGCTTCTTGGTTAGGGGGTGTGTTGTCTTCATGTCTGAAATGTAAAACTTTAAGACAACATTAAAAATGACTTGTCAAAAAAACAAAAGGGCACTTGAAAGGGATGTGTGCCTGAAAGTACATTAAAGGAGTTCACGGATAAGGAGATGGGTGAGGGAACACAGAACACTGTGGCCACAATGAAGACCAAGCAGGCTTGGCCACAGATGCAGCAACAGAGCACACAGAGCCCCGCAGAGCTGAGAAATCGCCCACACAAGCCAGGTCCTTTAAAGGACGTGTCATCTAACGTTAGCCTGTGCATTTCAAGGCAATGGAAAAACTGATGACGGTCTAGAGAAAAGCAATAAACGTGCAGGAAAAATGGGTCTTCTAAAAAAAAAAGGTTGCACAACTTAACCTTATTTCATCAAAAGAAAGAAATAAAGGGCAAGATGATAGCTTTAAATGTTTGGAAGGTTTATGGTAAAAACAGATTTGACCCACTGTCCCCCAGCCGTTCAAAAGAAAAGCAAGAGGAAATTGGCTTCCATTCACTGTAGTAAGAGGCGTTGACTGGAGATTAAATAACTTTCTAGTGGTAAAGGCTACAAGTCTAAAATCCTCCTATGGAAGTTATGGGGATCTGGGATTTTATTGGGGAAAAATAAAGCCATCTATTTTGCAGCGTTCAGATGTGTTTTTGCCTGCGGAATATATTAAAAATTCCTTGAAATTCCATCCATTGTTGATATTCTTTGGATCAACTAGTTTGTCATTGTTGCTTTTAACTTTAGAAGAGCATCTGAGGACTTAACAGAAAGATACATTGGTAAGACTAAGAGTGGTCTGCTCCGAGGTTATGAATTAGGATCTCATCTGCCTAAAAGGGTAATTACAGCTTTGCAAAAGCACTGCTGCTCAGATTGGGAAGAATGCAGCTTCTTATTCAGTGGCTGAGAGCACAGCACAGGGTCTAGGCAGTAGAGGCGTCCTTGTCCTCGAAGCACTCTTTTGAGAAGCTTCTTGGATGGTGGTCACAAACCTGCTGAGCATTAGCTTGTAACAGATTTCCCAAATGTTCCACCAGCTCTGAAAACGTGGGTCTCTGGCTGGGCTCGCCATGCCAGCAGTCAAGCATGGTCTGGTACCTAGAGAAGCAAAATATTGGTGTCATTAACTGCCTCTTCCCTCCTGATCTGATGCTGAAAATAAGCACTTGAATGAGTAAACATTTACAAAGAGTTCATCATGAGACAAGCTGTTAAACAGGGATACCCAAAACACCTGATGCTCCCTTACACTTGGAGCATCAGGTGGGTACAGAAAGGAAAGTTAGAGATTTTAATAAAAACTAATTGGATGGTATAGATAAAATGCTGTAATTTCAAGAAGAAGAGATGGCTCTGTGCTTGAGATTATCAAGGAAGGACTGAAAGAAAGAAGCAGGGCACAAACGGGGTGGAATTTATAACAGCAAGTCTTTTAGGAAGGGAGAATTCTGTGAGCAAAGAAAGAGAAGAAATGGATACTTTTAAAGTCTCACATTTCTGGTGTGGTATAATCAGGAGCCCTCATCCTAGTTCCTTCTTTCAATCTTCTACAAAATTCCTCATCAATCTTTACTCCAGGATAAGGAGAAGCACCTAGAATAAATAAAACAGAGATGAGATGTTTGTTATCTGATTTGATTTTTCTCTTATAGGAATCCCTGAATCTGTTTCTTGAATGTACAGATTATTTATTTATTTATTTATTTATTTATTTATTAGATTTTACAATACAAAGCTTGCAAGTAAGTTTCACCCAATAAAAGTCGAATACGAGACAGGGAAAGGTGTACTGGGGGTCACTGACTGTTACCATTCTATTTGCAGTCTGGATGGAAGGACCAAGAGAAGTGGCTTACCTAAGGAAAATATTTCCCAGAGCAAGACACCAAAAGACCACACGTCACTCTGAATTGTGTACACTCTGTCAAAAATTGTTTCTGGGGCCATCCATTTCAAAGGGAGGCGTGCCTAAGAGGGCAGAAGACAGGGAATCAGATTCCAACTTAGCAAATTTCTGAAGAAAAACACTTCCTTTATCCCTGAACACAGGTTCTGAAGTTTCCTAAGGGGAGTCTGAATGCTGCAACTTAACAGGTCACTTGGTTCACCTTCGAAACTTACATCTCCTTTTCTGACGTAATCTGGGTCTTTATAAATATCCCGGGCCAAGCCAAAGTCACAGATTTTAACCACATTCTTCTCCGACAAGAGGATATTTCGTGCCGCCAGGTCCCTGTGGATACACTGCAAAAAAAATCATGTGTGTGTTAGGTCTCAGCACAGCTGATCTTTTCTACATCTGTTGTGACCTCATGCTTGAAAAAAAAAAACCCACATCAGAAAACCAACTGATTAACAGGCACTGGGTTAATATCTTTTATCAACACTTCAGGGAAAAAGTCTGAGTTTTGTTGAGATGCACATCTGTTTATTCCACTAACAGCCCCAGACTTTGGAGTTCAATAACTAAGTTATAATATGAGTAGGGAGTCATAAATAGACTTCTCTTGGACACAATTAAGAATGTGTTTCTGGTCATATCCACACATCCCTTTTGCCTGGTTCCATATACGGTTGAAACATGTTATTCTAAGGGACGCCCCAGAATGGGATTTATTCTGAATGAATGCACGGAAACCAGAAACAAGGGCTCTCACTGGTTTGTTGGTTTCCCCATTCCATATGTAACTGAAGCTGGACAGGCTCTGATAAACAGTTCCCAGTGGGGCTCATCCTGTTTTCAAAGTGGATTATCATAAAGGTCTATTAAAGCCATTGCAGCTTCTCACTAGCCAGGCTGACTCTCTGGTGCACTACAAAGAAAAACCAGCTCTCCTTGGCGTTCCTTCTATTCTTTTCAGCTCCAGTGTCTCCCTTCTCTATGTACCCCAACATCATCTAACTTCCTACTAAAGCTGCTAAGCAGCTTTAGCTCCACCTGGTAGATTTGTGAGAGAATAAGAGTCAAGGGGAACATTTTTAAATGAATGAAACGCTTAGCTCAGAATTCTCATGTCAGTGTAGAGGTGATCACGTGAGCCAAACATCCCTGGCCACCCGCACCTTACATTAGGGTAGCACATCGTCTAGCATGACTGAGCAAGACAGGAAGTTCCAAAAAAGAGACAACCCTTACTACTTTCTTTCCAACCTAAGAGTTTCCTCTGTTAGCTTAACAACCAGGTGGTATTCAATTAAGCAAGGGAAGCTAAGGGATCTTCCCCCTTTCCCATTCCCTTCCCAGTCACTGAAAGGGACCCTGACTAAAATTAAAAAAATTTTTAAAAATCAGAATCTCCAAGAAGGGCAAAGATCTTTTCTCTTTGAGAAAATCCTGTAAGACTCTACCTCTCTCCTTTCCCCGGGGGAGAGAGACGACAAGAGCTCCTGGCAGGAACATCTGAGCTCCTGAAGCTCTGAAACCTGGGACAAGCTTTAAACCCCAGGAAAAGAAGTGGGTTAGGGATGTCACTCTGATTTAGAAACAAACAAAAGATAAACTCCAAAACTCTAAGTCTTTCTTCCTTCAGCAGGCTGTAACAAATGCGTTTTGTGAAACAATTTGTCTTGAAGTTTAATTTGAATTTTTCTTGTTTAATGTCAAACCATCCACCGTACCCTTTTCCAGTTCAGTGACTTGAACCAACCTTGCTCCCTCCGGAGTGTTTACAACCCCTGGAATATTTGTAACTTGTCACGTCTCCACCTCAGCCTTTGTTTGGCCTACTTTTCTAATTTTAGCTCTTTAGTCTCTCTCTTCTAAAGGCTGTCCTTCCTGGTTTCTAATTATATTAACACGTGTTTTTGATGGATGGTGATGAATGTAAAAATGAATTAAAAATAGACTTATACTAACATATCCGCAAGGCCTAGTCCCTCACGTCTTCTAGGTCATTGCTCAAATGTCACAATCTTATAAAGCCTTCCTTGTCTACTTTGTTTAAAACTGACATACACAAACATAAGAGTATGGGACACACTCACATACCACTCCTATATGCTCTATTACCTTTCCTGCTTATTGTTCCCCATAGCGCTTACTCCCATCTAACCTACTATGTATTTACTTGCTGATATTTACCGTTTGCTCTACTCCCTAGAATGTAAACTCCATGAAGCTGGAGAGTTTTGCCTGTCTGTTCACACTGTATCCTTAGTGCTTAGAAGGCTGCCTGCACTTCATGGGTGCTCAATAACCAAAGGCTGAAAAATCACAGGAATTAATTTCATGAAACCCTTACACCTCCTTAAGAAGCAGAAACGGGGACCTCCACTATGGAGTTCTTTTAATAGTCCCAGGATGGGAGAACAGATTATAGTCCCAAGGGAACACCTGTGCCTGGCACTAGAGATCTTATTTCCATATCTGTGATCTGCAGAGATAGTCTGTTTTCCTTTGAGCTGTCTTACCTTCCTAGATGCCAAAAACTCCATGCCCTTAGCCACTTGGAAGCTGTAACAGATGAGATGCTCCAAGGTCAAGAAGTTCTTGTACAGGTCTTCAGAAGCTGTCAGAAGATGCAGGAGTACAGAGCTCAGTATTTCCAGCAGAAACTATTTGTTTGTAAGTTTGTTAGAGTAATCTTCATTTTAGAAGGTAGAAATTGAATTTCAGGAAATACAAGCAGAAAGAAAATGCCTCTATCTTCTGTAAATTTGCTGAATACCAGTATTACTAGCTTTCATCATACCCCTTAGCAAAAATATTAGTTTTTCCATTTCAGCCAGACTGAACCAGCAAATCCAGGAGACAGAATGGAGGTGAAATTGGCACAGATAACAGGGTGAAAGAGAACTTGTTCAAATTTACTGTTTTAAACTTGTTTATTTCATGTACCCAGAGGGATAAACAATAGTTTCATATCAAGAACTCTAAAAATAAAACAACAATATGCAGGGTTACTGAATCTTTTCTCTCCAGGCTTTGTCCTGGGGCAAATGACAAAGGTCAAATTATAATCTACAACGGATAACTAAGAATACCAGAAATAGATTTATTTGTCTCAATTTCAAGATAAGAAAGTGCTATAAATGCAATAAATCTGGCCTAAGAGGATGCTTTTTCTCCTTCAAGGACATGAATGAGAGATGACAGGAACATACAAATGATGAATTTTGTAAACTGGTGGTATTTACTTCAATGCAACTGAATTAAATTAGTAAATTAGTGGTACAAATAACCACTAGGACATTAATGGGTGTTTCAACATGATCTCTTAATTTTAGTCAGATAAGAGATAGCTTCTTTCCTGGAGACAAATACCAAAGTATAATAAATGAAAACTCAGTTGTAATAACCTTGTGCATATTAAAAAGACTTCGAATGGTTTTCTCAATGCCTTTTTATGCTTAGGGCTCAGGGCTCTCAGTGAATAATAAGTGAAACCCCTTCATCTTCCAAATGAAGAAATGGAGGCAAAACTCTAGGCCAGCACTCCTTCTACTCAGACTTATGAACCCAGTCCCTTAGGTTTCCAGCTCACTGGCCACCACTTTGTGAGAGAGAAGGATAGGGCCGAGGAGGCTCCACTCAGAGTGGGTCCAGTTTCGTGAGGTCTAGGCCACCTCTTCATGCTCTCCTCCTAGACTATGTTCCAGCCTCACACTGCCCATCAGGCTTCTAAGGGAAATAAGTCAGATTCCAGTACAATCTATGGTTCCATGCCCAGGGAAGAAGTGAGTTTCTTCTGCTATTTCATGATTGGATTATTCTAAGCTCATGCCTCACGAGAAGCCAGGTGTCAGGAAGCCCCAGCTCTACAGCCATGGAGTGCTCTCTGCTCCTTCTGAGGGAAGCAGATATATTGTGTATCCTGGAGTTGGAAGAAGTCCTAGAAGTTAGGCTGGGAACATAGCACCACTCAGAAAAAGCCTTAAAATATCATCTGAAACATGACCAAATAAAGAAAAGTGTATTCCCTAAGATATCGCTGAGGAAGTATGGTTGGGAGGAAGACTTGATAGGCCAGTTAGGGTGGGGAAGAAATAACAGATGGCCCTACACTGCCTTGGAGATGGTTGGGTGTGGATAACTGAACGACTTCTGTTGGGCTGGTGAAGTAAGCAATGTGGGGCTGAACTGCTTGGGGCAACGAGGAGTCTAATAAACCATCAGAGAGCCTTCTTTGCCCTTCTGGAACATAGCACTGAGCCTCTCCTGCTAATGAATGCTGAATCAACATTTTAAGAGCATTGATTTGATAGCTGCCAAGTTCTCCTGGGGTTCAAGATTCCTCAGGCTAGCCAAGGTTCCTCTGACAGTGTTGCCCGCTGTTATGTAGAGCTTCCATACTTCCCCTCCGGGGAGACTAAAGGCAGCCAGTTTAGAAATTTGGATCTCTTTCAAATATTAGGTAGTATCGGACTTTTCCCATGGCAGAATTCCTCATAGCCCTTTGTCATCTTGTCTGTTCCTACAAGAGCATGCATGAAGTGTGGAGAAAGCAATGGCGGGTACCTTCCTCCTCTTCCACATCACTGAGGGACTTCTCCTCAACAAAGCCAGAGCTGGCTGAGCTCTGGCTACTGGTGATACTGTCCAAACGGCGTTTAGGATCCATGGTGATTTCCCCAACGTATTCTTTCCCTTGACGGAATCGTGCCCCTTTGGTCTATAAAAAAGCACATGAACAAACACACTCCTTGACTACAAAATGAATCTCTAAAAGGTAGCAAACGTTGAAAACAATTGTAACTATTTAAAAACAGACCAGAAGGACATCGATGTCAGGATTATGCAGTCTCCAGGCTAAACTTTTGGGCAATAGATTTTCTTCCATAAAACCCCGTTCCTTGAGCTCACAAAGATAAATGCCTTGGTCAAGATTCCTCAGACACACTTCCAACATTAGGGTGCTCTTACAGAGGGATTTCCACTCTGGGGGAGAGAGGCTACTCCTGAGCTGCCCTTCCTTTCCTTAACCACACCCATCTTCTCCCCTGTCCAGGCACCATCTATCATGCGTGATAGAGGAAGTCACAAAATGAAGCATGAGAAGCCCACAGCCCCCACAGAAGGTAAAAGAGGAAGTTACAACACCCAAGAGGTAATGTGGGAAGATCTCTCACAAGTTTTTCACAGAAATTTTAACAAAAAAATTAACATGTACCATTTTGATTTTTCCTCCATTTCACAGTGTAGCCAGAGTTGAGGTAGGAAATGACATACCTTGTAGGGGACAAATTCATTTCTCTTGCTCCTTAAGTAAGTTGAGAGGTTTCCAAACTTGCAGAATTCCACAATCACCATGAGTGGGCCTACAGGCAGCACAGCATGTCAGGAAAGGAAAACCTGTTTCACTCATGTTTCTCACTTAGCGTTTAACATATTGTTTGACCAGCAAATATCATTAAAAAGCTACAACCTTTCACTGGGGACAGGGTCCTAGAAATCAGCTGGTCATAATCTACTTATATTGTAGGCTGGCTTTTTCCAAAAAGCAAGTCCACAAGATTGACAAATATTTAAAAAGAAAACACACCCACTTGTTTTTCAACATAATCACCTAACATGACTCCATTTTAGGGGGACCTGCTGTCAAGGTCCTTTTGTATTCAAGTTTTTTGGGGAAAGTACTTTTCTCATCTGAACACCTATTACGCAAGTAGCAGACTGTATTATAGTGATGTGACTTTTATTTAATTCACACAAAGATTTAGAATAATTTATAGTGCCCATTTAACCTTCATGAAATATATTTATACAGGGGGGCGCAAAAGTAGGTTTATAGTTGCTCATATGGAAAATCATACAATAATTCATAAATAATAATAAAAGAATCAACTCTGTGTTTTGCATACTCACAACTGTAGACCTACTTTTGCCACCCTCTGGACCTGGAAACCTGGTTAAGTATCCTAAGTTAAGGAAATCAAGGGCATGGGAGCTGAGCAGTTTCCCTCAGACAGCAGCAGAGTCACACAGGCCCGAATCAGGCAACTAGAACCATCCAGAGATACTCACCTCCTGGCTTGGTACAGGCGCCTAGAAGATTGACCACATTGAGATGATGGCCAATATGAATGAGGATCTTGAGTTCAGACATGAGAGCTCGGTGTTCACTGTGTGTTGCTCCTTCTACAAATACAGGGCAAAGGGGGCGATTGTAAATGTGGGCGTTGCCTTAAGAATACTGTTGCATCTCGGCAGCCTCCCCTCCAGGGGCAGATCAACTGTAGCCCACTTTACAGACTAGGTGCATTCCCCTGACAGTGAACTCTAAGTTATATTTTCTAATTCCAAATCAAATTCTTCCTTTAAGTTATCTCAGAATATTTTATATTTAAAAGAATTCATAGTGAAGTCTTTTGCAAAGTGGAGAATACATCTGCACATGGAATCATGCCCAGATTCTCTTCTTTTACAAAATTGGTTTTCATATACCAGGTTTACTATGCTTCTTGGGACCTGATTACTTCAGCACTTCCTCATAAGGAAGCAATACCATGTATTAAATATCCTCGTGTGTTTGGGGCTGTGCTGAAGTTCCCACCAACCTGTGCCGAGCAGGAAACTTAACAAGGGCCAGCTGGCAAGGCCAGTTGGCATATGAGGTTGATGAGGCTAAGACTGTAAGTTTGATCCAGTGCCGACCAGTACACTTCCCTGTAGTTCACAGACATAGTCCACACCTCAGGTCCTAATGAGCCACCTCAAAATTACGTATCTCCTTGGCCTTGAAAGAGAACAGGCAAAAGGAGACAGATGGCCTTGAAACACACAAGACCTATTGGCAAAGGGCAGGTAGCATCATCTCCATCAATAAAAGCACAACACAATCAGAGTGAAAAGTTTTGTATGCATCACCTCCCCAAATTAAAATAGCAAGACCAGAATTTCATTACCATTAGGATTAACAAGTGCTTATGAAGGTTTTAATTTTTTAAATATCATCCATAATCCTTTTTTCCTAGCACAACCATTCTTATTTTGCATATTATCTTTTATATGTGAAATCTTTCACATAGTCCAATTCTAGGGAACATGGTGTTTTATACTCTACTATTTCTATTTATTATATCAAATTTCTTTTCCTGTTTCTGTATGGTCTATAATTATCTTACCAATGCACCATAATATAGTAAGAAACAATTTGTAAATAACTGAGGTATTTGTTTTTTTTTCCTCCCTATAGCCAGGCCACTCAGTACAGTGGTGCCAGCTGTGTCCTGCACAAGGACTCCCAGGCAAGGTGGAGAAGGAGGAGGTGGGCAGCTGAAACCCATCCCTAATTTTGCCTGCCTGGCTCTGCACCCTGGCATGAGTCTATAAAAGATGAACTTTTTTTTCCCCCCAATATGTACAAAGGTGTTTAGATTGACTGCATGCGTGGCTAGTGGGCCCACCTACCCACAGAGCCACTGATACAAGCCCTTATCATAATTAAAAGACAAGAGGAAACAGAGAGAGGGTTACATAACCTAATAATTTTGCTTTTACCTTTCAACATTTTGACGGCCACTGTCTTGCAAGTTGCTGTCTTGTCGATTCCAAAGGCATCTGCTTCAATCACTTGGCCAAAGGCACCACGGCCGAGAGGCTTACCTACAGTCAACAATGACAGGGGCAACAAAACGGACTTGGACTATTATACCATCACAGTGATATGCAGAGATTACAACCAGGTAGGGTGGCCATATATCCCGGTTTAACATGGACAGTCCAGTTTACTCCTTGTTCTGGTTTGATTATTTAGTTATCTCCTCCCTTTACTTTCCAAAGGTCCTGCTTTGGATGATTCTAAAGGACTCTACTTCTAAGTGACTAAAAGGATAATTATTCAAATTCAAGAGATAAAATGCTTTCTGAACTAGAATCCAGCCTTTGCATAGACTATATTTACCATCATCCTAAAGAAAGAGATGGCCTGATAAACCCAATATTAGATTAATATCACTTGAAAGCACACCTAGTTTGAGCCGGTCCCTGGGGAATTCCCATTTGTTGGCATCATAAGGTAGGCGTTCACAGTGTTCATCCAAGGGGAGTTCATCTGGATCCATGACGATGGACAAGTAGCCTGTCTTCAGTTCCCCTCCATTGGCCTGGAATGAATTACTCTTTTAAGTGACACACACTCTGTTGTTTGGCTGTTGTTTTGTGTGCTTGTTATTATTTTGACAGAAGCCCCATTCCTGATGCCTCATTTTTAAATAAAACTCATGGAGTTTGAGAGTAGTCCTATTATTATCGTGTTTCCAGTGTCTCTTCAACTCCCAAATGAGCTCAGAATTAAGTTCTTAAAGCTTAATTACACTAGACAGTCCAAGACCTTTTCTCCTCTAGTGCCTTATATCAATTAAAGCCCAGTGGTCCAGCCAAAAGAAAATGGGCAAGAATGTTATTGTATTGAAATAAACTGTGCTCATTGAGCCAATAACAATGGGAAGAAACAACTTAAAGAGCCCCAGTCAGTTTTCATCAATCATGAAAACCAAAGTGCGTGGGATGGAAGAGAAATTATCTTGTTACCCGCTTCACAGTCCGTAGGATGATGACAAGAAGCAGCCAGAAGAACATGGCAATCACTGCAGTGCCTACTAGAATAATGACTTCCAAGTTCGTCTTTTCCTGGGCACCTGGAAAGGCACAACTGAATGAACATCGACCGTTGGAAACTCATATTTTTTAATATAAGATGACAAAGTTCACACTTACCAACATGGAAACATCCTAAATAAAAAGTCACACACCTCTAATTTGGATGGAGTCTATAATATTATTATGAGTTATTTAAAGTTTGCAAAACTTTGCTCATGAAAACTTCCAAGCATAAACTTCTAAAGTAATTAAGGATAGAAATGTTAATGTCTTCAAAAACCACCATAGAAAGTGTTTGAAAGAAGTCTTTGATGGAAAGAAAACAGGTCATGTTCTAAAGAGAAGTATTTCTAACAGGAGAAAATAAATGTTCGGTTTACTCTGATAATCTATGGTTTGATCTGTATAGTGTCTGAGAAAAACTAACAATGAACAAACAAAATGGAAACAAACTCAAAAAGAACATTTTGATGTGAGGGGTTTGGGCAAAAATAGATGAAAAGGGGGAAGGGATTAAGTTGTACAAATTGCCAGTTATAAAAATGGTCACAGGCAGTTAAGTACAGAACAGGGAATATAGTCAATAATCTTGTAGTAAGTATGTATGGTGCCAGGTGGGTGCTAGACTTATCGAAGTGATCACTTCCTATGTTATATCAATGTCTGATCACTGTCCGGTACACCTGAAACTAATGCAAAATGAATGTCAACTGAAATTGAAATATTTTTAAAAAGCTCTCAGGAAAGAAAAGAGAAGAAGCTACAGAAGCTCAGGACTCTAGGGTACAGCTCCGAGAGGCCGAAATTAAGGCCAGGGTGTGCTTTCCACTCAGAGTGATTATCAAAGAGGTGATAAGGAAGCAATTGTCGCTTAGGGTCCCAGTGGCTGAGGGCAGTGAGAATCAACCTGGCCACGAGCTGTGAGTGGCCCATGGCAGCCTCAAAAAGGCAGAAAGATAAATGATTAATTCGTTAGCAAGATAAGAGTTAATAGTTGAGAGACAAGCACCAAAGCTTGGAAGTAGATTTTGTTTCTCTGGTGTTCATAGTGAAGCAATTCTCTATTTACATGTAGAGATTTAAAAGTCAATTTACAGATGGTAAAAAGTTCATAGATTCAATTGTCTATATAAGTTTGTGTATTAATATTCCCATAATAACATTTGGGAACCTCACAGGGAAAGTAAACATTTACCTCTTCCTTCCTTAGTATTTTCTTCAAGTGAAAGTAAGCCTAATCCCTGGGCCAAAGTTACCTACTTAGCTATTGGTATCCAGCAGCGGTTAATGAAGGTGAGGAGGAGAAAAGGACATCTCTCTTAGGATTTGCCCCAACCTTGAAGTAGTGTGGAAGTGACAAAACCAACATGTCACTTGAAGTTTTTATTTATTTCATACACTTGAAATTTTTTTTGCAAGGACAGTTTATGAAATCGTAATAAGCCTACCCAGATTTGAAAACAAGTCAAAGTATCAAGATGCAATACTTGGCAACAGAGATTTGACAGATTAAAGGGACTGCAATCTAGACCTTGAGCGAAAAGTTAGAAGTTCACAGAGATCCGTCAGTTCTGCCATCTGTCACCACCCTTCTTTCTTCCCTTGGCATACCATTCCTTCACCCGCATAATACACTGTCATTGTCCCCAGATGGGTTATTAACAAAAACAACAACAACAACACATACACACACACAGGAATACACTCCTGAAAATAAAATATTCTGTCACAGATTACCTTTCCCATCTGAGAAAATGCCAGATTTCCCATTATTCCTGCATACACATACAAGTAACTTTTCACATTTAGATAAGAACCCCTCCCCCATTTTTCATTTCAGAGAAGCAATGGTCTATTGTTCATAAATGAATCTTAATTATCTTTAGTCTCATGAAAACTATGAACATTTGTGACTATAGATAGCATTGGTTTTCATGACCAGTCAGTAATTCTAATGATTTTCCAGATAAATATAGAAGTATCGTTCCATATAACAAGTTCACTGAACCATTCAAATAAAGAAAGAATCAGGGAAAGGCAGAAACTCTGCCTGCCTGGCTAAGAAGTTTTCCACAATGAGAACTGCAGGGATAGAAATGTGATGCAAACAAAGTTAAAATAACAGTAATTATATTATCTGGTTAAAATAATACATATTTATAATAGAAAATTTACAAAATATAAAGAATATTTTAAAAATCACCTATAATCTTCCCATGCAAAGTATATGAGTGTCTATAAGATACGAGCTAATTTTTAAAAGCCATCTGGTGTACCTGTCAAGTCCTACTGACCTTCTACTATGAAAAATGCCTCCACTTTTGCACATCCAAGAACACTGCATGCCTGGCAGGTGTACAGGCCTTCATCCTCCTTCCTCACCCTGCGGATGGTTAGGTTCCGGTTCCCATCTTTCAGTACAATGCCTATGAGAGAAGGAAAACGATGATGTTTACTTATGATGTGGCCTGAAGGAGTTTTTCAGGGAAAATATTTAAACTATAAATGTCACCCTTTGTCTTAGGCTATTATCTAACTCCAAAGAGTCTTGCAGAATCAGCTGCCGTCTCCTCACCCCTGGCTTCCATGAGAATTTACCAAAACTCTGAGTACTCTCATTCTAAGTCCTTGAAATGAACCAGAGCATGGACACTTAAATTGTTATTTTTTTCTATCTCAAACAAATCAAAAAATAATATGGATTTTAGACAACATCTCCAGGAAAATTCTGCAGCCAAAGAGAGACAGCCATGTTCTATTCACCTGAGTCTTCCACGAGTGTCTCATTATCTTTAAACCAGGAAATCTGTGGAGGTGGATTCCCAGATGCTGTGCACGAAACTTCGATGGTTTCCCCAATACTTGTTGTCTGATTCTCCAGGTTCACTGTCATCACGGGTGCCATGCGCTCTGGGCACACAGAAAGAAAATACAACATTTAGGTGTAACTTCTAAAATGATTTGAGTATCAGTAAATTATTAAACCATTTCAACTTGGTAAATAGCACACTGTTGATTTACTAAGCTGAAAATACAGAGAGGCTGATAATGGAACTATTAGTCACTGAATACAGTGAAATAAAATCAATAGGTCAGGACAGTTCAGACAGGTCACTGCATCTCCTTGAACATTCATATTTCCAGTGACTCAAGATGGTAATCATATAACAAAATAAAGGTTATCACCTTTATGGATTTTTCTTCTAATTAGACATGGCTTCCCTCCCATGAAAGTTCTAGCTGGTGACATCCTGGAGTTCTGTCATGTTTCTCTTGGAGAATGCAAAACTTCAGTGTAATTCAACAAACAAAGAATGCCTTGTATTTTTTTGGTACTTTTTACAAAATTCATTTATACTACTTCTGTTGTTCACTACCAGTCCTGTGATTGGTTGGACAGGAGTATTAGCTTTATCTGACAAATGAAATAACTACAGTTCAGGGGGTCAAAAATTGCCCAACTCTATAATTAGGTGAACAAGTGAACTAATAGAATCTGGTGAACCTAAACATCTAGATTAATGCTATTTCCACTAAAACACAAACAAAAACAATACCCTAAAGAAAGTCAAAGATTTAAAAAAAGGAAGCCCATGGGTATTTGCTTACATGCATGACAAAACTTCAGATTTGCCTTTTTCCTATAAATCATCAAAGTGCTATGGGAATATCTTGTCCAAACCGACTGAACATCAAAAGGAATCTTGCTGAAATAATCTATTTTAACACTTAGCAAAATGAGATTACCTCAACAGTGAACTACATTGGGGTTTAAGCAAATGTTCTGGATCCTAGTCAATTTCTAAGAAGAATTTTTAGGAAACAACTTGGGAGTCCTTAGGGAAGCAAACCAGCTCATCATGAATACATATTTCCTGGGTGTGGCAAGGCCAGGAGCCTCCTTCCCATCTCTTTCTGAAATCTTCCAGCAGTTGAAAACCAGATCAGTCACCAAGGTGAACAGAAAACATGGTATGCGGTGGTTTCAACAGGCCCAGGGATTTCACCTAACAATGTCTCTTCTTTTTACACCTGAGTCTTAACATTAGCAAAACCCACCCTAGTGTCTGTCTAAAGATACCTCGTAAAATATGCCAAGGCTTCCAAAGATGTTTTTCTAAAACTTTGGTATAGATTAGTTTATCTTAGAGAAGTTCCCCTTCCAAAAATAAAACAAAACAAAACAAAACAAAAAAAAACCAAACAGGGCAAATCCGTCTTAGAAACTTAGAAGAGACATTGAGGATAGTAAAAAATGAAAGGAGATGGCACAAAGAAAAACTCGCTAAGTTTGCCTGCTTTCCCTAGAGACAGAGCCATGGCTGCACAGACTGTGTACAAGGCCCAGGGTTAGATGAGGTATAGACAGTGGCTTCACAGGAAATTCACAAAGCTATCTACTCACAAAAATTATCATCTCAGGGTAATTCCTTGCAGATACTAGTGAGTTATTCCACCGCTGGGGTTGGAAAGAACTAAGCTATTCCAGGGGTGCCCAACCTTTTGGCGTCTCTGGGCCACAATGGAAGAAAAAGAGTTGTCTTGGGCCATACATTAAATACATTATGACACATAATCAAAACTATCTCATAATGTTTTAGTAAATTTACGATTTTGTGTTGGGCCACATTCCCAGCCATCCTGAGCTGAATGCAGCCTGGGTGCTGCAGGTTGGACACCCCTACATCACTTCACAATTATTAGCTTCTTTCTGCCTCCAGAACTTTCAGTGAATATCATAAATTGCACCAGTTGACTTTATAAGCTCCTAGAGGGAAGTAATCTTTAGTCAGCCCCTGAAAACATGACATTTAAGGCAGTCCAACGGCCTCCCGATCATCCAGAGTTGCCTCCCTACCTAGGATTGTGAGCTGCCTGACCACGCAATGTCTTTTCTTGGTCTTCCTGTCCTGAGCAAAGCAGACATAGTCTCCTTGATCCTGCAGAGATGCATTCTGGAACTCCATGATCAAAATGTCATTTGTGCTATTAGAGAACATGGTGGCATTCATTTTCCAAAGAGCATCCAAGTTCTTGCAAACAGGTGTGGGCAGACTCTGTGGGCCAAGTTTGTACCATGTGAGGTTCTCAAATGTAGTTCTGTCTGCGCTGCACCACAAAGACACGCTCTCCTGCTCAGTTGGCTGGGTGCCAGGTTGCAGAATGATTTCAGGACCCTCTGAAATGTAAAACCCGCGGTTAGAACATAGTTATTCATCTTGGGCAGCACACTAGTGACTTCCTGTTGCCTTCAGACTGCTATAAAGCACAAAGGGCAGTGAAGCTCTAGCAATCCCAGACAAAGTGATACAAAGAGATGACCCAACTGGACAATTCAGGTCCCCAAAAATGTCATTAACCAAAATATATTATTTGGAAATGTAAATAATTTTTTTAAATGTTTATCAAATATCAGCTAAAGCTTATACACAAAACTAAGATGAACAGACAAAATCACCAGCATCTGGAGGGCACTGCTCCTATGTCATTTCAATTGTCTCCAGAAAACTCAACCTTGTCAACAGGTCAGCAGCAAGCCTATCAATATTGACCGAACCCCAATAAGCCAAGCACTGTGCCAGACGCTGATAATAATATGAGGTAGGACTTGTGATTTAAAAGCCTGTGTGAAACCATTCTCTCTCCAGTGAAGTTGGATGTACCTACTTCACACAAGCCCAGGAGCTACCTGAGGGGTTTCAATTTATAAACAAAAGCATCAACTATCAGCCCAAGCCCTCTTCCTAAATGCCATGTCACTCATAGGAACAGCAAGGGCTACAGAGTATCAGACAGCATAGCACCAATTTGGCAAAAGATCCAGCCCACCCCTTGGAGAACAGCACTTACTGGTCACATGGAAGGAGATAACCCTCTCTCCTCTCCCAACTTTATTGACTGCTTCACATTTGTACAAAGCTGACACATTTGCCGCCTGGATAACAAGAGTACTTACAGTCTGTGAAAAAAACAAATCCCAGGCCATAAACAATGGAGGCTGTGTTTATGCACATGCATTCAGACTAAAATTCAGCCATCCCCACGATGGCTATGACCCGCCTACTGCATTCACATGCCTAAACTGACCACTCTCAAACTCATGCAAGTATAATTATGTCATTTTAGCTCACATGTTACACAAAAGGGGCTCTGGAAACCATGTGTTTTAATATAACATATTTTCTCATTTTCATACTTGTAAAATCAGAATCACCTTACGACGGATGTATAGATTTAATGACATATGTGTTTTATCTTACTCTAAGCTAGTAATAAGTCAATGGTGCTTCTCAAAGTCAATGGTGTTTTCAATCTGACTAATATGCTACTATTTTATCATCCGATTTATTTGATTATCAGTCTCCAATATTCCTCACGTATTATTATACCCTGCTTCCATGCCATCCTTCCATCCTTCCATAAAAGAGAGAGACAGATTTTCATGTTAAAGAACTTCAAACTCACTTTGTTTTTTCCTTCAATTAGGGCAAATTGATTTTTGTTGACTTCGATTTTATTTCCCCCCTGGAAGTCCTCCACATTTCGCCATTCCTTACAGGTATATGGGTTTGTCATTAAGATAGCTTGCCTATAAGAAAGAGATAATAGAGCATATGATGATTAAGTTTTTCTTTAATTCACATCTATAGTAAGGAGAGGAGTCAGACTTTAGTTATCAGGTTCTTAGAAGGCCAGGTCCCTGGTTAGGGGCATGTGAGAGGGAACCGATCACAGTTTCTCTCGCACAATGATGTTCCTCTCCCTCTTTTTTTCCTTCCCTTCCCTTCTCTCTACAAATAAATAAAAATAAAATCTTAAAAAAAAAAAACTTTCAATGCATCCTACACTATTACAAGACTTGGTGCCAATTAAAAATAGGCTTTAGCAATGAGGGAAGAAGTTCTAGGTAGATTCATTCAGGATACAGGAGGGAAGCAGCTATTCTGGCAACAAACCTCCATTCATAAATTGGATCGACAAGACAATTCAAGTTAATTTAGTTCAAAGGAAGGCAAGGAAACTAAGAAACCATTGGGTTTCTTAGAGTAATCTCCATGGGACTGTGGCCTTTGTGTAGGAAACAGTAAGCATTGGAGGAAGAATCTAGTAGTGGCCATCTCAAAAACAACAACAGGAAGTGAACTGCTTAGGGTGGTGTAGGTGGCTTGTTGTTGTTGGGTTTTTTTTTTTCCCTAAGGATGTCTGTACTTGTGTTAGAACCTGATAAGCTAGGCCTGGTCCTCTGAGGGCTGGCTGCAGCTAGGTCTATTGCGCCCTTGAATTCAGCAGCACTTCCTCAAGATGAACCTTCTCAAAGATAAGGAGAGATAAAGCATTCACCAGTTAATTGGTATAAGGAGAAAACCCAAAGAAAAGCAATTAGCAATGTGAGCCAATAGCCTGCATTTGGAGAGGTGTACAACAGGGCTAACCTTTGACGAGAGAGCTAGCTAAACTCAGAGCAGGATACCCCAAGGAAAGACATCTAAAACATAAGACAGAGAAAGATGGAAAGAGATTAAGAGCACCACCTGAGGGATAACTTTCTTATTAGACAGCCTTCTTAGCTTAGAATGGAGTCATGCAGAGCTTGACTACAAGAAATGCAAGATGGCAAGACAAAAAGAGGGTGTGGCCATACTCACGTGGGGTTGTAGGTGCACTCTTCCTCCAATTGCCAATACCAGAGGATGAAACTCGGGGGAGGAACTGCATACACGGTGCATGTCAATGTTTGGGTGGTGCCATACTTGTAGGAGTCCACAGGAGAGATCAAAGATTTCTCACCGATCTGGGGTGGGACTGGAGATGGGAAAAACAACTTTTGAATTGTCAATCAGCTTTGCGGAATGGAAAGTAGAAGTTTTCAGCAACTAAAGCCCACATTTTTCTAAGCAGGTAGTTTTGCCTCCATTTGGTTTTTCAAAGTACATCTAGACTTGGAAACAGGAGACCTGACTTTTAGTGATATTACTACTACCACCACCACTGCCGCCACTAATAATAATGATAATCCAATAAACTGAATGGCTGAAAATCTTACCACCTTGTATCTCAGTTTTTCTCTCTTTATAAGAACATTATAAGGATAGTTCTCCTTGTCCTTTCAATCTCACCAATCAGGACAAAAAGAAAGGCAATAGTTGTGAATAACACAATGAATACATTTCTTATACAATAAGCATTGTTCTTAGTGTTTTACATTGATTAATTCATTTAATCCACACAACCACTGTTATTATTCTCCACTTTACAGGAGAAAAATAAAACATAGAAAAAGAGAAATAATTTGCCCAAAGTCACTCACCTCTTTTTCTACTCTGTCTCCCTTTCCTTCTTTCCCTTCCTCCTTTGTTTTGTCCCTTTTTTCTTTATTTTTTGGGCTCCAGAGTCATTAATGTGAAACTGTTTTCTCATCACTTTCAACTTAAAGCCTTACATTATACTTTCAAAACTTGACTTTTTTTTTTTTATGTTGATTTTATATAGCAGGGTAGGTACTAGGGCAAGTCAAGTGTCCAGTGACTTCATGAATTAATGAGATAGGATTGTTCACTGTTCATTTTTACATCTTTTTGTTGTTGTTCATTTCCTTTTCCTCACCTTACTTATCAACTTCCCTCCTCAGTCCCCTACTCCCAGGTGGCTTCTAAGGGACATTTCTGAAAGCTGTTACCTTTAAAATACTCCCTGAAGCTCTTTAATGGTGGCTTAAGAAATAAAGCCAACCTCAAGAGACACACAAGGAGGTGGCAAGATATACAGGGAAGCACCTAAATGTCACAGGAGAAGATCCTGAAGTTTGAATATGCATGCCAACAGGGAGAACAAAGAATTACAATGAAGAATCATTTCCCAAACATGTTTAGAACAAGACATTAGTGAATTTACTGCAGGAGGGATACTTTGATCAAAAGTTTGTTATCGAAGACGATGTCTCTCCCCTTGGAGAATGGCAATATACATTTGCTTATTGAAGGTTCTGAGAAGTCATGCAATAAAGACACCTGTTTTACATCAACTTAGCATTTGCCACACTTGACCATGGAACTCATTTTCCCCCCGCTGGAGAACTTATTAACATCTTTCATGAAGTTTGGGAAAACAAAGTTCAAGTAATCATTAAAAACAAAACTTTGTGCCTTCCTTTTATAGCTTTAGAGACAGACCATAGCCTCCTTTTTTTAAAAAAAAAGAAAAGGAAAAGCTTCCAACCAGGTAACCGTGTGGACACACCTTGGCATCTCTAATACATCAACTCCAAAATCAAACTGGAAGCCTCCCACAAAAATTCAAGAGTCATACCCATTTGCAATGGCAGGGGTGCGAGTCCCTGAGACAGGCACAAAGGTGGTGCTGCTTTAAGCTTGTCAACTGTCCCCTCAGGCATTTTCAGCATTTAGCCATCCAGGGTACCTTCTACTTTAATCTTGCATTTGACCACCAAACAATTCATTTTGCATGGCCTCTTAAGCAAGCATGTCCAGAACACACTCTCCTACACCTCGTTTCAACTCTACTGCAGCATTTTTATGCACAGGAACCTCCTGTGTATAAACGCACTCCTAAAGTGTGTGAAGCAGCAGGCAACAGAGGAATGGTGGCCTAGCTATTCAGGAAAACATCGTCATACTCTTTATAATAAACGCTGGGCAGAGAAGGAAAACTTACAGACTCACCATTCACAATCAGAGATACCACGTGGCTCTGTTTCTCCTTTGAAGTAGGATTGGTAAGAATGACAGTGTAATTTCCTGTATCCTTTTCACTCACTTCCATAATAGTCAGTTCATGCCCCACTTTAACAGTGTGATTAGACTCAATGGGTCTTCCATTTTTATACCTATGGGGAAAAAACCCAGGAATTATACAATCTAAAGATTTGCTTTCATGTAGAACAATGCTTTGCATTTATTTCCAAGAGTTACCATTTTATATCTGGATCAGGGTAACCAAGGCACTTCACAGGGATTTTGACATAGTCTCCCACAGTGGCTTCCACCAAAGATTCCATGCCACTATCAAAAGCGACGAAAGGTTTTTCTGAAAGAAAATAAAAACAGTTATTCTCAAAAAATGGCAGCTTATTATAGGTGGTCATTTGGCTTATTATTTCATTTCAAGTGAAGAGTCAAAGGCCTTGGGGTTCTGAATTCAGAGATTCCTCATACTATCTTGCTCTCGGTCACATTCCAGCTTATCCCACACAGCCAGGCTTTGGGTTTTCTTTCTCTCTCCCCAAGTGTACTCCGCAAGCCTACCAATTGCTCAAGTCTCAACTCAAGCAGTTTTTCCTCTGTGAAGCTTTCTCTAAGTCCCCCTAACACACTTGGGTACTCCTTCTCCACTGCCTTCATGACACTCTATACATAGCCCTCCATACACCCTGGGGCTCAGTACTCAGACCTCTTCTCTTTATCTACACCTTCCTCTAGCCTCAGGTACATACTCCTAAATTGAGGTCTCCTGCCATGACTTTCCTGGGTTCCAGGTTTAGAGATTACATAACTCCCTTGGGATGTTTAATGGGCACCTTCAAACAAACACACCCAACCCTGTTCCCCCTAATATTACTCCTCTCTCAATCTTCCACATCTCAGTAAGTAAAATCACCATTCATTCAGTTGCTCATGATAAAAATCCAAAGGTGATCTTCCATTCTTTTTCTCTTACACTCCATAGCCAACAAATTAATAGGCAGATTCTATTGGCTCTAACTTCTAAAATGTATCCAAAATCAGATCACTTCTCACCACTTCTACCTCTACCACTTTTGTCCAAGCCACCTACCATCTGTCATCTGGATTATTGTAATTAGTCTACTAACTGGTCTCCCTACTTCTGCCCTTACTTCCCTAAAGTGTACCACATAAAAAAAAGAAAACAGTAATCCTATCAAAAAATAATCCAGAACATGTTTCTGTCTTTGCTTAAAACCCTTCAATGAATTTCCATGTTATAAAACCCAAAATCACTACCAAAGCTCGTAAATTGGGTCGCACATAGATTATCTAAACTGAGACATGTATGTGAGTGAAAGAAAATAAATGAGTAATGAGAACTTAAGCTATTTGTTGAAAGCCCCACAGAAAGTAATTCAATCTAGGTTTTTCCAACTGCAAAGCCCATGCTTACTCAAGTAGGATCCTCTGCCTTGCAGTAAAATGAAAATATAGAAACTATCTAGTAACACTCTGCTCATTATAGCAAAAACAACAGCAACAACTACAAGTAGTGTTTAGTGAGCATCAGTGATATATTGGTTCATCTCATCATTACAGTTGGAACTTGAACCCAAGCTACGCACTTGACCTCTAGGTTATGTGGTCTACCTAACAAGAGTTCAAAATTACTTTCTGAATAAGCAAAATAGAAATCACTAGCTGACCTGAATTTATTTAAATCACCTCATTTTCCAAAGTATAGCATAATCCCAAAGGAGAGCTTAGCTTACCATAGACCACAACAAATGTGTCGTTCTTCTTGGCCATCAGCCCACTGGAAGCCTCACAGGTGTATGGTCCTTGGTCACTCCGGGTTACACCATCTATAGTCAGGGTGCTCAAAAATTTCTTCACATCACTCCCAGACTGAGTTTTTAGGTCCCGGTTTACAAGTTTCGTATGCTGATGCTGATGCTGAAAAACAGTTTACGGAACTTTCAAAGTTCAGCATAACATTGCCCAGTAGCCTCTAGATACCCAGAGCATCAAGTCTTGGCATTTGGTGAACAACATTTAATGCTAATAATAGAGACTTCAGAGCTTTCAACATAAGTAGATGACAAATACATTTGGTTTCAGGAGAAATAAATAGAACCAAGTGAGTTAGGATTTTTAAAACCTCAGACAGTGGGAATGAGATGGATATGAGCTGCAGAAACACAGGCAAATAGGACCATTGTTTAAGGAGAAGTGTGTCTCCTGCTACTTCTTGGAGAGAAATTCCCTTAAAGGGAAAATAGATCAAGGACTTCGTAGAACAGAGAGAGAATGCAAACTGGAAAGATATAATCGCCTGGAGAAAACTAATCTTCACACAACCTGACTATAGCAGAGTGGGACAGAGTTCTTAGCACTGCATCTTTTTTTCTTTTTCTTAAAAAAAAAACAACCATATTTATTTATTTATTTATTTATTTATTTATAGAAAGAGGGGAAGGGAGGGAGAAAGAGGAGAGTAACATCAATGTGTAGTTGCCTTCTGCATACCCCCTCACCAGGGACCTGGTCTGCAACCCAGGCATGTGTCCTGACTGGGAATCGAACTAGCAACCCTTTGCTTCCCAGTCTGGTGCTCAATCCACTAAGTCACACCAGCCAAGGCTGCATCTTCTTTTCCATTAATGCCATCTATTTTGTAATTATTTTAAAATGTGTGTGTGCATGTGCGTGTGCATGTGCCTGTGTGTGTATGTTAAAGCACTTACATTTTATCTGGCTAGAGAGATCCCTATCTTTCTCAAGAAAACTCTATTGGGGCTGATTATTAAAGTGTTTGGAGATCTGGCTTTCAGTTGTTAGTGTTACCTTCAAAGAAGGGTAGGTCCAGTTGAAGTCAATCCCCACATTTAGTTCAGTCCTTGCTGTACAATTTAAAACAAGCTTTTCTCCAACAGACAGCTTGATTCTGTGAGAGGGACTCAGAACCACATCATATATCTTGGACCCTGGAGCAAATAAGTTGAAAAAACAGAAAGTGAGAAGGAAAACAAATCTATGACTTGGCACAAATTTTTCCAAAAAATGTTGCAACTTTAAAATGTGTCACATCTTCTCTCCCTGAGGGTTTCACCAGTTCTTGGGAACTCCCAGAAAAATGGCCTATTGATCATTACAAAGCAGACAGGCAGGGATCTCAAAGATGTTGTCACCCAGTGGATAGAAAAGTAGTAAAATTTGAGTAGTCAATAGCCAATGGAGCCAGCTTTCATAAACTGCTGAACTTTCCATAAAACAGGTATAATTAAAATAATCGATGCCAAGCAATACTCTGAACATTAAATTTTCCCTAAAGTATGCCTCAGTTAAAAGTATTCTTTTTCATCCTTGGTCTTGGCAAGAGAAGAGAAAACCTTGATTGCATATAGGTTTATTTTATTTTTTTTAAAAAAGTAAGTATCACGAGTTGCCCAACATCATGTCATGAATTAATATATTTTTCAAATCCCTTGTCCTTCACCCTATACATTAATCTCCAGGATCTTAATATAGGAAACGAATCTTTTCTGTGTGATAATAATGAATTAGAAAGGAACTGTCCTCTTACCTACAACCACAACTATGTACATAATAGACTGGTAACTTTCGTCATTAATTTTTGCTTCACAGAAGACCATGCCGGCATAGCTGATCATGTAGCTGGGAATAGTAAAGCCTTTCTGGCTGTCCCAGAATATTCTCTTACCATCAGGAACAAACCTCTTTTCTGGATATCTCTGGGGAGAAGAAGAAACATCAGGTATTTAATCAAGTGCTATCTAAAAGAGAAACCATGTAAAATGATCACTTAAAAAAATGGACATTTTTTATGAATACAAATTAGTTTCATTTATTGTCATCTCAATCCTTACTAAAGTATCTTTCAATCTCATTTTTGATGTTATATGGTAAACAAGCTACTCATCTTAATATTAGCTTAAAATTATGAAAACATAAGAGATGACTGAAGAAGTAACTTACTGCACAAAGTGACACATTGAGGTTTGAAATGGACCCACGACATGGAATCACCACAGTTTTGTTTTTGTTCTCCATAATGTATACAACCCCATGTTGGTCACTAACAGAAGCAATAAATGGAGATCTGTAATCTAAAAGAAAATTTAATTCCATTTAGTTAATGGCATTTGCTAGGAAATTTAATTCCATTTAGTTAATGGTTATCTTTCAGGTTCATAAACTCTGACCCGAGAAGCGAATGATTAGGAACGACATTTCACGCTAGGCAAAGGCATCCACACGTCAACCTGCTGGTAGATATCGGGCTCCAAGGATGTCCTGCTGTCCTGCAGGAGGGGTGTCTGTGTGTGCGTGAAGCATCTGGAAAGAAAACCTCCCAGGATGGAACTGACTCCTTTCACTAGGAGCATCCATCAGTGCAGTGTATTTTGTAGGTTCTACATATAAAAAGGTCGATCGTTACAATCTTTTCAAAATAAAGGTGGCTACTTCTTCACTTTTCACATATACATATACATTTTTATATGTACTACATTTTTCATACATAAATTATAAAGTAAATTCAAAGTTAAATATTTATACTTTATCTACTAAGTTTTACTGATATTAAAAAAATTCATGCTTTCTTTCTTTGGGCAAATCATGTGAATGCCATGAAAATAAATTAATGGATCCCAAAAGACCTTTAAAATAAACAAGAAATAACTAACAATTTTTGAACCATTGTATGTGGGTATTTTAAAATTGTGAAGACTACATGTGAGATTCTTTACAAAATAATGTTTATTAGTTATTGCATTTAGTTTAAGATTCAGCAGTCATTAACATCTTCAGTGACAAAAACTTGAAAAACCACCAAGGCAAAGAGTGAGAAAAAAACAAAAGAGATTTTAATGTCGTTCAAACGTTGTTCATACAGTGTTAATACACGCCTGGGATAGTCTTCCATTCCCCGGAGACAGAGTTGACATGGTGTGAAGTCCTGCTTCAAACCTCAGGGGATAATAGTCCAAGCTGCTATGCCCAACACACCTGACTTAGCATTTTCAGCACTCTTTGAGATGGCTGGTCCAAGTGAAGGAAGAGTTAATTAAACCAAAGGGGACAAAGCAACTAATTCTCTGCAATAGCAGAAGTTTGATTTCCTTTCCAGCTGGAAAGCACAGAAAGGCAGTCAATGCAGCCCACCACGTGCCACAGCCATTATCTTGTGAGGCCAGGACCCACTTCCTGGCTCCATCCATTGCTGGAAGCAGTGGGGTCAGAAAACTAGGGAAGTAAGGTGGGGACCAGAGGGGACATTAAAGAGCTGTCCATAGGGAATACTTAAATGTTTTCTTTCCCATTGTTAAGCTTCATGACCAAAATCTTAAATAGCTCCCCTTTTAGACAGGAAGCAGAATTTGATGGTATACCAAAGATGGGCAGTGTACAAATAAACAGAGCTAGAGCTTGCTACTTCTTCATATTATCTCTCTTTTATCTATATGCTAAGAAATATCACATAGCATACTTGCAGAGTGAGTCTTTCGCTTGCTTTACAGAAGCATTTGGAAACTAAATTAACCCCTTGACATAAGACTAAAGCTATTCAGTAAATCAATTCTATTTCAGTATTCCATGAAGAGGAAATAAACAAAAGAAACCCAAACAACCACCCATCCTCTCAAAATAAAATATTTACTGAAACTCATGAAATGAATTTTCACATGTCTCCAGGTTTCCTGACTCCAGGGAGAAGGAAATAGGGAGATATTATGGGAGACGTTCATCTCGTAGTCTATTTCCAGAGAGGCTGAAAGCAGGAAATCCTTGCAATCTTCTGAGAAAGCCTGGTCTCCCAAGACTGCCAGATCAAAAGGAGCCAGAAATTCTCGAAGATTTGAGACTTGTCTCTTTCAAATTCTGTAGAGAAGAGGAGGAGGGCACAGAATTCTGCCTTGGATTGTGCTTACCCAGAGCAAAATTAGTTCTCAAATATTTTACAATCCGGGAATGACATACATTATTTTGATGTGGTTTCCACTTTTCCATTGCTCTGACTATACTGTGTTCTTGAAAAGTGAAAATATGCAAGTGTGTTTTCCAAAGCTGATGAAATTCTTATTCTATAAAAGATGCTTCTGAAAAAAAGTCGAAGCCCTCTTCACCTACCTCAAATCCTCAGAGATTTAAAGAAATATATACATGCACAAAGAATATTTCTAAAAAGCTTATCTTCATTGAAAAAAATACTTAGAACATCCAAGCACAATACTATACACAACACTTAGATTCCTCTAAATTATATGATAGGTACTCATTATTTAAGTCAGGTTTTCATAGGGACACTCGGGTAGTAGAAGAGCTTTGAAACCAAAAGCAAGAATAATTCACATTACAAATACTGAACACATGTAACACTGTGTTTTTATCCTACATGGATGCTAAGTTGGCCTCCATGGTGTTAATCTCAATTGTCAACTCTGGAAAGATGGGGCATATCATCCAATATCTCAGACCACACAAACAAAGGAAAGAAACACTGTCCTCGAAGGCCCTTTGAGGCAGCATGCTCATTTGCTCCAGATTATGGAATTGTTTATTACAAAGTATAAGAGGGAAAAGAAAAGTTCCTATGAACAAAAAAAGGTCCAGAGTCCTTAGCTGTTTCCCTCTGCATTCTTGGGAAAATCTCTCACCGCTGCAGATAACCTCTCTCTCAACAGAAACCTCTCCATAATTCACTCTGAACCTTCCTTTTTAAGTGTTTCTGGGGTTTTCTTTTTCTCAAACATCAGAAGACTTTTTATAAATCCCCATAGCCAATTGTGAACACAGATTTCTCTTAGAAACAAAGACCAGAACAAAACTAATTGGGCAAGGGCAAAAGAGATGTAACAGAGCCCAAGCTCCAGAACAAATCAATAAGTCTTATTCTCAGAGGAAGCCTTGGGAGAGAAGATTTCTGTATATTCCTGTTGGTTAAGAGCCTTTAGGACGAGCCTTTTTTTGTAATCCGATTCTCCTTTGTGCCTATTGTGTTTTATAACTGGTAAATCAATGTAGGAAATGAATTCCTTTTAACCACTTACCTTGAACGTAGACATAAACAACCGAGGCCAAGTCAGTGTCCTGGTAGAAGCACTTGTAGGCTCCAGTATCATTTCCAATCACTTTCGGAATTGTCAGTGTCTTACAGAATAAGCTGTCACTGCAGTTGGTCACCTCCACTCTTTTCTCAGAGCTACTCTGATTGTTGGGCCAGACCCAGGCCAAGTCCCTCTCTCCCCTGAAAAATTAATTCCAGGAAAGTATTAATGTGAAATGCCACAATATGAGGCTGTTTCTTAAAACAACAACAACAACACAGAAGGTTCTGTTCTTAAACTTATGTATACTCAGAGTCACACAGACTTCTACCAACGAGAGCTTATATCAACAAATAACAAAAATCCATATACTCAGCTTCAGAAATCACTCATAGGGATTCCTGTGTTTTTTTATTAATTACCTCATTCATTTATTCAACAAATATTTATTAAGTATGTGCTCTGTGCCCAACATTATCAAAGACTGGAGATACAGCAATAAGCAAATCAGACAAAAATCAATGCCTTTATAAATCTCAGTGTAGCTGGAAGGGACAGGCAATTAAAAAAATAAATAAACTGCAATAAAGCAGACATTTTTAAAAAGTAATTATTACGTATTCTCTAAACAGTGGTGATAAGTACTATGGACAAAATACAGATAATGCAAAGAAAAGAGTGAAGAATTCTGCAGAGAGGGGACTCGATGAAGTGAGCTATATGATTATTGGAAGGAACAGTATTCCAGGCAGAAGGAACACAAATGTTAAGACTTTGGGGTGGGTACATATCTGGAGTATTAAGGAAATGGCAATGAAGCCAGAGTGGACAGATAAGAGCGAACAAGCAGGAGAGTGAGAAGCAAGGTGAAGAAGGAAGGAAGGGGCTGCAACTCTCTAAGAGCCGCATGGGACCTTGTAAGAAGTGCATCAAACATAGATTACTTTTATCATAGCATTTCTCTACAAAGTCCCAAGGGAGACAGTCAATGTCAAGAAGTAGGTAAGGTCATTGACCCTTCTTTCAAAGAACTTGAAATTTTCATGAAGTTGCAGCTACATTCATGGAACTTCATAGCTTTTTCAGAACATAAGAAATATTTATTCAGAGTTTTAAAAGGGTGTATGAAATCTCTGAGGACTTTAACTATTCTTTGTTGTTGAGGATAAAAGGAAAATCTACTGAGAAATGTGTCTTGAAATAGCAAAGCTAGAGAAACAGCACCTGTTAGTGTGCTTTTTTCCCCCAAGGGCTGAGTATCAGTGACCTACACTTGATAACAGACTAGGGTATCCTTTACCCTCTGCACTCTAAAATAGATCTGTGCTATTGTGTTGAACTCTTGATATTCAAAAATTGTAAACAATGGCAATAAGCTACCCAAGGGTCTTGGTGAACCTCCAGCACTCTTCTCAGAGAGCAACATTGCGTCTACCCATCATTCTGCCAAAGCACACTGGTCCTAACAAGATTCTGAATGATCGCTACATTAAACCCCAAAGTCTTCTACTTTTCTTCCTGAGGTAGGAGCTGAAAGGCAAAATTAAAGTCCACTTCTTCTTGTCATAAAGGCCTGTTTCCCTACTTAGCAAAAATCAATAATAACATGGCTTCTTGCTAGCACGTTAGAAGAGAGGCATTCCAGAATATCAAGCCATATTATGGAGTCATTACCTGTGTAGAACAGGCACTCAGTAATATTAAGAGCTGAATATTAAATTGCTACTACAGTCAGAATTTTATCATGACATGAAGTTCTTGAAAAGAGCTAAACAGATGCCCAGGAGCCACCCTGATTATTATAAAATATGGCCCAAAACTTCAATTCTATCCCTTAAGGTCATGTACTCAATTTTATTTATTCATTCAATATTTATTGAGTGTCTGCTATATACTATATGCCAGGTGCTATACTGGTCACTGGTGTGTGTGCGGGGGGGCGGGGGGGGCAAAGGGCACTAGAAAAAAATGCCAGCAAAATCGTGCAGAATTTTTGGGAGAAGATATTTCTTGTTTTTTCATTATTACATCATTTCTTAAAAATCCAGCTACTTAAAAACGATTAATATAAATCTATTATAATTATACTGTATGGAAATTATTTTTCACTCAATAACAAGTTACCTAACACAGGAAATACATAGCTAAAATCAATCCTTACCTGCAAGTAATTTCAAGAGTTCTATTAGCCGCAATTGTAACGATGTCTTTTTGTATGAGGAGCCTAGATGGACCAAGAAAAACACTAGGCAAACCTAGAAACAAATTAAATAAATGATAGTTGCCACTGAGTCAGACCCAATAGGAAACACCTTCCATAAACAATGCACACTCCATAAATTTAAAAGACCTTTTCAGCAATTCATTGTATAATCTGTGAATTTACTTTTCACCATTCCCAGTAAAAGTTCACAAGCTGTGTCATAACAGGAAGAATGGGCAGATGGTCATAAACCAACACAACAGTTCTGCAATTCATGGAGCTAGGGTGGAGTTCCTGTTTTCCTGCATTGCCAACTTCAAGGTCTTACAAAAGGATATGGGACATTGAAATTAAATGAACCTTCATCTGATGATCTCACTCCCTTGGGAAAAGACCCACTGACATTTCTTATAAAACATAGGATGCACACATTCGACTAAACTGCTGATTAATGAATATTACTCAGAGAGATTTCTATGTAGTTCACATGTGCCCTGAAGGGGGTAGCAGTATCCATGACCTTGTCTCATTTTCCTTTATCAGTTTTCTAGTGGATTTCCTCTGGTAACTGAACTGCCAAGGTTGAAAGACTACATTAAACCTAGTTGAGAGGAACTGAATAAAAGAAAACATTTTCCAATGTCATATAACATGCCTATTAATATACCTTTCCTCAGAGAATGGTTCTAGAAGAAGTATAATGCTAATAAATTACAGTTGAGGAATCCCAACTTAATAATCAAAGCTCTGAGTTTCTCCTGATACCAAGCTTGGAACACAAGAAATCTGATTTTATCTAAAAATAACATGGGACAGATTCCTCACCAAGGTCAGGTTACTCCACAGCAAGAAAACCGAGTTCTCTGTCAACTAAGTGCAACTGGCTACTAGGTGTTGAAAAAGCATCAGAGAAAGAAAAACTGTTCCTGATGCTATAGTCTTAACTGATATCCAGATCTTCAAAATACCACCTTAAAAAGAGATTAATGCTTGGTAAGCACCCAAGCTTAGTATGATTATTAACTTACATCAACTAAGTACAAATGACTCCCTAGGCCTAAACTGGCATTGACCTTGTTGGGCAAATAAGAGGGCATTTACAAACATGAGAGAGTATGAGTAAACAGAGTATGAGCAAATATTCAGTGCAAATATCCAATGCATTGAATCTATGGATCCCACTGAAAACAATCTGCAGACAAAATGAGCAACTGATCACCTGTGTTCTCACATACTCACCCAGATGTGGACAATAGGTTACTGACATAACTGTATATTTGTTGATAAATAACATAGTAAAAATTTGTAATAAAAATCTTTTAAAACCTGGAAATTAACTTATATCAACAAATCTCGGAACCTAAGTGGCACTGGCACTGATTTCAGGCAATGTTCCCTAGAAATTAGGACGTGTCAAAATGTCCCTGGGCCTACAGATCTTCATTTTAACAAGCATTTCATGTGACTTGGTCATACACGGTCTATGGGCCACTCTTGGACAACTATGGGTCTTGGATGGTCATATTTATTTAATTAGCGCAGCACTTTCCAATATGGGGAAATAATTACCCCCAAAGTAGACAAACAATAAAGCAAAATGTTTACAAGCAAAAGAAAAACCTTCCAATAATGGAGTCTCACTTTGTCTAAGAAAAGGAAAATAAAAACAATTCATTTGGATAAACACAGACATAAAAGTTGACTGAAAAACACTAGGTTGAGAAATACGTTGAAAACAGTAACCGAATATAATTTGGACAATGATCCAAATGAGAAAGAACCCACTGTTTGGGCACATTCATGTGAAAAATAAAAAATGGTAGTAAAGACTAAGCTCTGCCCACCTTACCACCAAAATAAGAGATTCTTGAAGATCTTCATAAATTATTGCAACAAATTATCTCACACTCCAGATGTACTTTCCTATGTTAAAAAAGATTTTAAGGTATTTTTCATGGGAAGCCAAAACAACACCATACTATTCTAAGGCCACATCAACACAAAAAAATATGCAACAAGGCTATCAACAATGGTAACTTTCAACTTGCATATGTAGCCAACACTTTTTTTTTTTTTTTTGCTCCATTAAGCTTCATTCACTTTCATTGGCAAGTTTGAGTTCTACTCTTCAGAAGTTCTAAAGAAATAATTGTAAGAAGTACATATGCTACTGCTCAATAAAAAGCCCTTCTATGTTCAAATCCCATAACCAAAATTAATTAATTTGTGCACTGTTACCCTTCCAAAGACAGGAAGGAAAAACAACAGTGCCTCTGTCTCTAGAATTTGATGGCACCAATTATAGTCCAATCCAATTAAGCAAGTCACACACTCCAAAAGGGCAACCTCATCATTATGTTCAGGGCAACCCGATTAGTTTACCACTGCTGGGCTAGGAAACACCCCAGGCTTAAACGCAACTCACTTCTTTGTGGGATACAGAACCACATGTTCCAGACCTTCATTCTCTTCCCATAAAGGGGAAAGAGAGAGGGCTTGTCAGGGACAAATGAGTGTCCATGGCGGAGACGGCCCTGGTGAACCAAATAATTAAGAAAATTCAATAACTAGAGACAGACAATCGTGTTACTTCATATGTGTCTTTCTTATAGACCTGATTCTTTCCCTTTGATATAAGGGATTTCCTGAATTATTTGACTTTTTCCCCCTTTCTCCACCCTCTCTCCTTACTCCCCCTCTAAAGAGTGCAAACCTAGAAATCAGCAAACTGTGGCTACGGAAAACACGTAGGGGCAGAGAGTGGAGGGAGGACAGAAAAAAAGAGAAAAACGAAAAGACAACGTATGGCATCAAAAGCATACGTGTTCCTAATCTTGAAGGAGATAACTATTCGGTGACAAGGAGAGTCCGAGAGGGGCTAAATCTACGTACTAAGTCCCCCAGAGTAAGTTTTCTGACCATGCGTTTACTGCAAGGACCAAAGCGCTTTGAAAGATGTGAAACTGGTTTTTACTAGGTGACTGTTACTTGAAAACACTTTGGGAAGCTGTCAAAGTCCCGGCTCGAAGCCCCAATTTCCCCTTCTCTCTGCGAGGAAAGTTGCGTCCTGCACCAAGAAGGGGAAAAAAGTTGTTCTCCCCCTGAACCCCATCTCATACAGCGGGTGCGTATGTGAGTTCGAGCCAAAAGGGAAGAGCAGACCCGGGTCATCGCTCGCCTCCTACCGAGGCAGAGGTAAGTGCAAGGTGCGATCCTGGCGAACTGGCCGGCGTTCTCTGCAACGCTTCCTTCTCTGCGTCGGGGCGAGGACGGTGCGAGCCGCAGGGCGACGTTTCACCGCCCGTTCGCGCCCGCTGGAGCACCTCCTGCCTGCCAGCCTGGGGCGCCTTCCCATATCCCCTCCCGAGAGCCTGGAGGGTGCGCCGGGTCCGCCGGACACGCTCCAGCAGAGGCTCCGGTCCGAGACCAGAATAGTGGAAAAGGAACCAGGCTCAGGGGACCATTAACTCTCTAGGTAATCTCGGGCCAGTCGCTGAGACTGTTTCCTCACCGGCAAAGGAAAGAACACGAAAGTGTCAGGTCACTTTCAACTCGCCGGCTCTCGGATTCGAGGTAGATTCGGCCTCCAGGTTCTCTCCGAATCCACAGCTCTCCGCCCGCACCCGACCTCTCTGCCTTCTTTCTAGGCAGCGGGCTCCTTACCCATAGAGGCAGCCCGGGTCTCCACGCAGAGCCACAGAGCGATGGCCAGCAGCGTCTTGCTCTCCATCCTGCACCTCGCGCTGGGCGCAGTGCCCAGAAGTTGGGCACTGATTCTTTCTCCCCGGGCCCGCCCCGCAGAGAAGGCGTGGAGGTGGAACGCGCACCGCAGTGCAGGACTCCGGGGCGCGTAGGGCTAGGGTGTCTCCGCTCCGGCCGCGGCTGCAGCAGCGTCTGCGGGTGCCGGTAGGAGGGGATATCCCAGCTGCAGGGCAGCTCTGGACTTTTTTTGTAGCGTGCGAGTGATGCCCCGCGCAGGCAGAGGAAACAAAACTACGCACCGCCTGCTCTCCCGAGGTCCCAGGACTCAGTGCTGGGTGAGAGCCAGGGCCGAAACTCTAGAGCCCGGGGGCGGGGCAACGTGGGACAGGACGAGGGGCGGGGCTCCCCCCCACCCTGCTGACCGCCCCGCCTCTAGCCGGGTACCGGGCCTGGATCCTGGGCTCCCAACACCCGTTACATCTCCGTGTCTCCCCAATGGGCCCGGAACCGCACCTGGCCCCGGGTAACCGAGGGAGAACATCTGGGGCGCAACGACAGTGTTTCTGGCAAAAATAAAATGTAGCCCTTAACAGTTTTTGAGCCACTCCAAGGTACAGTTGGTTGCTGTATCACCGAAATATTGGGGAGCAGTATTGGGAACTCAATGAAGGACACTGCACCCTCAGGACGCGCGCCAACTTTTGGGACGGTCTTAGGCGCTTCGTGAGCCTCAAGTGGCTGGGGGACAGGTTGAGGATTGGCAGCAGGTTGAAGCAACTAGGGAAAAGCAGATACGATGCGGAAGGAAACGGAGGGTCGCACACTGGCCGTGACTCCAGTAGTGCGGGTGTAGTTTAAAAATCTGAATCTAAATGCCTTTATTTTAGTCACAATATGCACTTGCCCAGTTCTCCGAAGTTCCTGCTGTTTTCTCTTCCACGTGGCGGCTTCAAGTGTTTTTAAGTTATCTGTCTAGCCGCTAAAGGCATTTAATTTTGAGCCCCTTACCCCCAACCCAGCGCTCGCCAAAAACGTAGCTCACGCCTCCAGAGACCCGGCGCTGCCGCGGCGGGCGAGAGGGCCACCCGACCCGCCAGTGGAGCTCTTCTTGAAAAAGGATATTTGTCTACCGTGTTACTCCACAAGGAGCCCCTAGCGTGACTCTTCTTGGGCCTTAGACCAGGCTCCTTTTCAGAGCACAGGTTCCAGCCAAGTTACCCTTAGGGGTAAGGGAGGGAGGCCCAGCAGCGGGCTTCACTAGAGAAGCAGTGAAGTGAAAGCTCCCAGACCCTGGGCACCCAGAACACTCTGTACCAAACTTCATAACTCTCTCCGCCTGTGTTGACTTCTTGTGGCGCTGTTAGGAGAGCTCCGATTCTTTTCTGGCTGCATTTGTTCCTTCTTTCCTCTTCCTTTCGCCCTGCATGTGGGGAACGACATTAGATGTCCCCTAATTTAATTAAATAGGGCCGTTCTGGATCCCTGTCTCCTACTTCTCAGGTGCTTTGAATGACAACTTAATGGACCATCCTTCAAGGAGATGAAGAAGTAGAATTAGTATTATTTCTACATCTAATGCAAACCCCTTCTCCTGAAATATGAAATTAATGTAGACTATTGCTTTAGTTTAAAATTTTTTACTATATTTACTCTCCTACTTTGCCAGGTTAACAATTAAAATACCTTAACTCTGAAATAAAATGCATGTATATGATTAAAGTTTTTTTGTTTTGTTTTTTTTTTACATTTATATGAAAAGGTTTAGAACGTAAAGCCCTTCCTTCAGCAGAGGCAGACATTTCTACCTCTTCTTTTTGTCCTAGTAAATTCTAGGCACATGTAAGTATAGCTATGGTTCTCAGTCCACAAAGAGTAGCCTTGGTATAAATACTGTTTGAGTGTTGACTTTCCTCACTTTAAAATATAACTTGGAGATCATTCTACATCAACCCTCACGCCTCCATCTTGTTCTTTTAAATAGTGGCATGGTGTTCGACTGTATACATGCACTAATATTTAATCCAGCACTTATTTATTTGTCAGGGGCAGGAGTATCCTTAAAGAAACTCCTCACTTCCTGCTAGTAAACTTAGCAAAGCAAACAGGATGGGCCCTGGCAAAGTTGGATAAGGGGGAGGGAGATGGAACCTGATTTGGAGAAGGCAATTTTTCTCCATCTCTATCTCCAAACAATTCTTCTCTCTCAACCTTATTTACAATTCATGACACTTCCTTTTCCACGTCTCACTTTAGAAGATAGTGTCTCTTCTGAATGCAAACCAGAACCTGCAGGCCATGGTAATAGCCCCCTTTAGAAGTCTTGGAAGGAAATGATGCATCTTTGATGGCCACAAGACCAGAAGTTGGCAGGGTCTCAATGAAATTAGTCTACCACATTCCCTCCCACACAGCACTCAGAAGTGCCTTGTGTTCATGAAAAATGACAGAGTCTGTTAAAAAAAAAAAAAGTTCCATTATTAGGCACCACTGCAAATGAGTGATTTTATGAGTTAATCTGTCAGTATAGGTACGACCACCACTTATCAAAGTGCCCATGTGTGTTCTGTGCTCTGTAGATGGCGTTCAGACGCATTCAAAGGTGAAACAATGAAGAGCAGTGCCAGGTTCACAGACTCTGGAGCCACACTGGCTGGCTTGACTCTCAGCTCTACTCCTTACTATCCATGTGGTCTTGAGTAACTTAGTAGTTGCATATCTATAAAACACACACAAAAAAATGGTAATAGTACCTTTTTGGTAGGTTTTTGCAACAATTAAATGAGTTACTGCATGTAAAGCACTTTGACTAGCACCTAACATCTGGTAAGCACAGGTGCATAGCACATCATAAGCACCCCAGACACATTAGGAATATTCTGCAGGGGTCAGTTACACTACAATGCACGGTCTCCATCATGCTGCCATGATCTAAACTGCAAATGAGGCTCAACCATTCAACAACTGCCTTTGAGCACCTACTATGTGCTAGGTACTAAACTAAGGACTAAGGTTACAACGATGACAACAAAGGTAATAAGAGCATGAATGAGCAGTCTTCACAATAGCTTCACTTAGGGCAAATTCAACTTAATCACAGAGAGTACCCTGAATTCTCCAGCTACGTCTTTGGGTTTTATGCACACAGAATACACATTGTTCGTATCACCAAAGCACACTGCATAAGTTACACTCTATGTAATTTGGTTCCATTGCCACCAGTATTTTGAACTTCACATCTTAAAAAGTAAATATGAAGATAAGCAAAGAATTAATAATTGTGATTAATTATTAATAATTGTGGAAGTTGGGTGATGAGTACATAAGGGTTCATTTTGCTATTCTCTCTACTTTTACATGTTTCCCCATGATAGCAAAAAATGTGTGTTAAGAAGCTAATCAAAGTGATACCTTGTCTAGTGAAATACCACTGATTTTTTCACCGTTGGTGTCTCAGTGTTACTTCTGGGAAATGGTTGAAGCAGAGAAGCAGGTGGATGGAAACTTGCGCTTTTGCCTACATATATTTCTATAACATTTTGTCAAAATAGGAAAATGTTACTTTCACAAATAAAAGGCATAAATCAAGATCCACTCTGTCTTCTAGTGGCTGTTATATTTTCATATATTGCCATTTGTTGATTACATATTTGCATGAAACTTTCTCCTTTGTCATGTTTACTTCACTTAATTTGTTTGTTTTCAACATTGATTTATCCTGTAACTTACCAGAACCTGTGACTACCTTGCCGGATGTGGGCAAGATGTGTATTCATGACTATCATGCAGTAACAGATTATGAGCATACCCTTTCTCTGTCATTATCCACCTTCCTTACACACCCACATTTGTTTTACTCTCTGTGTGATTTATATTTTTAACTTAAAGTGTATTTGTAGGTTCAAGAAAAACATGGTTATGTCACCACAAAGCCGGGCCTGCCTTGGATGCATATATCAGTATTTGGTTTTATTCATAAAGTCTTACAGTCTAATAAATATGAAACAAACTCTCCATCCTCTATGTGAGACAGATGAGACAGAACTTCCTTACCTTCACCTGCAAAGGAGAAAAATTCAGCTACTATAAATATGTAGGCCTATGTGTCCTCCCAAGCTCTCCCAGTTGGTCTCTTGTTATCACTCATAAGAGGATAAATAGAACAAGGTTTCAATGTGGAAAACATGCAGGGAACTTAAATAACTAACTGGAAATCCCCACAGCACCAGAGAAGGATGTTAAGAAATAATGAAAGTAGCCAAAACTCACTGAGGCACCGTCCTGAATTCTTCCCTTCATCCCTCCTTTATTCCACAGCAAACTTTGAGGGCGGTAAGCACCATTAGCAATTCTTAGTAAAGAAGAGAGTAAGGGCAGGAAGTTATTTTTTTCTTAATTTAAGTAAATGTTCCTTTGCTTTCTTAAAACTCTTGCAAAAAAATCATTGTTTTATCTGTTTTCAAACAATTAATGTATAGTTTTCTCACCAATAGTTAATGACACAATACTAATCCAGACACTCTTTGCTTTTCAAACAAAGTAAGAAGAAGAAGGAGGAGGAGCAGAAAGAAGAAGAAAAAGAAGAAAGAAGAGGAGAAAGAGGAAGAAGAGGGAGAAGATTTTATGTGCAGTTACTTTCCTTGGATTATCTTATTATAATGTTCTCACTGACTCAATGGAAAGATACAATCATTATTCTCATGGGGGGCTGGGGCGGGATAAGATTTAGAAACTAAGAAGTGGAACCAGGATTTAAGAGCAAAAAGGTATGAAACATCCAAGACAGACCCCTCCAGCACTTTCACTTTCCTGCTGAAGACTGGCCTCTTTCAGGGAATGAGGCTGAGTGAATTGACTCCACTGGCTTCCTCAGCCTCCTCATGATAATCACTTTCATTTTCCTTGGTGGGTGGAAGGCCAACAGTCACTTAGGAGAATCATTCTGGGACAAACGTCCAAGGAAGAATGAAAGACAGATAATTTGATCTTCCCTCCACCACCCCCACCCCAGGAATCCCAACCCAGCTGGATCTTGACCTTCTACCCAACCCCTGAACACTGGTCTTTTCCTCTGAAGAAAAGCGGTTGCTCCTATACACCTGAGTACTTGTGCATTTGGGGGATTTCTTTTATCCCATGGATTATTATTTTTTTTTTTTGTATTTTATTCTCCTGAAAAACTTGTATTCATCTTTCAATACTCAGCTCAATGTCTTTCCCAAGTGATATGTTTTAGTTTTTTATTCAGCTGTCTTCTTCAATTGAGAGCCTTTCAGGAGAAACAGGCAGAGATAAATCTTACCTGAGCAGG